TTTCTGAGGGAAATTAGCAGGAGATAACTGACATCCATCAAACATGGCACTAGAACCAGTAGAACTATGAGCAAACATGGCACTAGAACCAGTAGAACTATGAGCAAACATTTTTTTTTTTACCAGTAGAACTATGAGCAAACATGGCACTAGAACCAGTAGAACTATGATGCGAACATGGCACTAGAACCAGTAGAACTATGAGCAAACATGGCACTAGAACCAGTAGAACTATGAGCAAACATGGCACTAGAACCAGTAGAACTATGAGCAAACATGGCACTAGAACCAGTAGAACTATGAGCAAACATGGCACTAGAACCAGTAGAACTATGAGCAAACATGGCACTAGAACCAGTGAGAACTATGAGCAAACATGGCACTAGAACCAGTAGAACTATGAGCAAACATGGCACTAGAACCAGTAGAACTATGAGCAAACATGGCACTAGAACCAGTAGAACTATGAGCAAACATGGCACTAGAACCAGTAGAACTATGAGCAAACATGGCACTAGAACCACTAGAACTATGAGCAAACATGGCACTAGAACCACTAGAACTATGAGCAAAATAAAGGGTTCAGTTCGAAATTCCAACCACCTGAAGAAGGCTGGAGCATACAACGGCCAAAACATTGTGAAAAATATGGCGACAAAGATGAGGACAATAGTCCAAATGATGTAAATAATGGTTCCTTTAATTCTATCTGTTTACTTTATCATGATCACTGGTAAAATAAACAACAGTTGTTTCTTTGGAGAATTAGGCTTTTATCTCAAGATGAAATGTTCAGATATGAAGGGTTAGGTTACTGAAATGTTTTCACCGCCACCTAGAAACCCTTCCAAAAATATGTGTTTGGTCATTTGATCTTGGGAAGTTGGTCAGGCCAATAATGTTCCAGCATCCCTTTGTGTCTTAAACTTAAATTATTACTTTTTTTTTTTTTAGTTGCTCAGTTCTTTTAATTTCACTTAAAGTTGACTTTACATTGAAGAGGAAGAAGTTTTTCATAAGCAAACTTTTCCTAAATGCAAACTTTGAATTTTTCAAAGATTTCTTTATTATATAGATTATAATAGCATTTTGGCCAACAACTTTTCATGCCTTTATCACTAAAGGGTTTGTTGCATCTGGTGATCTCTGGGTATTACTTAGTAATTTTTTTTAATTTCTTTAATTTGAAATGTTTACAGACTGAAATTTTAGTCTCATGGCCTTTTTTAATTTGACCTGAAAATTTTATCATGTAAGCACTGAATTTTCCTCAAGGTGAAAGATCTGAATGACAGACAATTGGGTACAACATATGCCAGAAATGAAATAGATGACTATAATAAATAAAAAAAATTTAAAAAAAAAACTAATAAAAATACTAGTCTTATTGGTTTGTGGAACAGAAAAAAAATTCCCTAATAGCAAATATTGTTTATGGTTAAAGAAAATCCGATTAAAAGAGGAAGGGGCTCATGTCTTTCTCAACTGTTTCATCAAGTGGTTATTAGGTCTAAAAAAATATATGTATATTGTTGTTTGCTTTCTGAGTTGAGTTTTTTTTTTTTTTTTTTTTTGCATTAAACACATGCATGGCTTTCTTGAGATGTGGAAGTTATTTCAAGGATTGCCGCAGTCTATAAAAGATAAAATGTTAACATCGAGGAATTTACTTTTGCTTCCGATTTCTGATTTGAAAGATTTCAATACCTATTACAATATTTTTGTAAAAAGTAATGAATAAGGATTAGGCTTATTCCAGATAATATCTATGTTTGCAGTGAGATTTTGTCTTGCTTATTGTTTTTTGACACTTACTATTTTCAGTTCCTTCAAACTTCAAAGGTCAAAATATAATGTACAACACCAGTTAGTTTCTTTCTGCAAGTAATTGTTTCGTTTTCCAGGGTTCCCTTATGACACAGACAAGATCACGAGTGAAGCTGTACACGTATTTATTCTCTGACAGTCAACAGTAGAAAGTAGTGATTAAGGGAGTTAATTGCTCCTACTTCTGGAGAGTTCTATTAAGGGGATTACTAGGTAATACAACATCTCCCTTTCTTTATTTAAGATTAGTTGGTTAGTACTACATAAGTAATATTTATATTCCTTGGTTCAGCCTGTGTGTCAAAGGAATACCTGAAATAAAGACCTTATTTTTTTTTGTTTCAGACGTTTAATCTCTGTATTGGTTTTATTGTTCTGTCTGAACAGTGTAGTGTATTGCTTGACTGATGGTCATACAGTTTTGTTTGTGGTGGCAGCTGAGCATTTTGTGTTGTCTTCATCTTGGCATTTAGTGAGAGTGGTGTACTGTGAGCATCATTGCCACCAACATTGAGGTTGTGTCTGGTCAACTCTCTCCTGGCAGGTCTGAGGAACTGCCAGTTTTTGCATTGGACACTCCCATTATGATATTTCACCAGGTATGATCTCTGCTCTTTTAAAAGTGGTTTACACAATGACACCTGGTTCCCACAGTTTTGTGTACTTTGGTCCTGTGCGTAGACCTGTTGACCTCCTGACAGCAGTGCATGCTGTCTTTGGTTCAGCTTGTCATGACATGCCTTTTAAGCAGTCCTGAGTGTGTTCTGCTGTTTGGAAACAAGGAGTGTTCTCATTGGTCAGCCATTGAATACTTCAGCTGGTGATTTGAGATGGCCTGAAATGTAAGCCATCATCGCCAGGTGACAGTCTGTGCCTGATTCTTTGGCTTTTATTAATAGCTTTTTGCATACTCCTACCATTCTCTCAGCAAATCCATTCAATTGAAGATAGTGGGGTGAGGATATAATGTGTTTGAAGTTATATCTTTGAGAGAAGTTGGCAAACTCCACACTGGTGTATTGGGGTCTGTTGTCACTGTAGACTATCTCTTGTATGCCTCTATTACGGCTGTAGAAATGGTGGAATAGAGGCATCTGAAAAACGGACTCTTGCTGAACTGATCAGCTGTGAGGAGGTAATGGTTGCCTTCCATAGTAAAGAAATCAGTACTTGTGTATTACCATGGGTAGGATGGGGTCTCATGTTGGAGTAGTGTCTCTGTTTGGGTGCTTGGCTGGTGCTTCTGGTATGTTGGGCATTTTGTGACCATGTCTTTGATGTCTCAATTGATCCCTACTCAGTATACAGCTGTTCTTTCTATTAACTTTGTTTTCTCAATCTCCTGGCGAGAGGCGTGTAGTGGCTGTAGTATATCATGCTGAAGGGACGCTGGCATTATAATTTTGTTCCCTTTCAACAGCACACCATCCTGTATTCCCATTTCTCTTCTGAAGTTTCAGTAAAGTGAAAGAGTGGGTGAGCAGTTGCTACTATCTGTTGGCCATCCTGGTTGTTAACTCATTTATGGATGCATAGAAGTGTTGATTTAGTGTATGTATGTTGAGGTCAATACCTTTCATTCCAGGCAGGTCTGGGGGATACTCTTGATAATCAATCTGTGATGTGGACTGCTTTGCCAAGCAATACTTTATCGTGAAGTTGTATCCTTCTACTTTTAGTAGCATTCTTGCTAGTCTTGGTGGTGCTTGTGCCAAGTTCTTCAGTGCTATCAACTGTAGTGGTTTGTGGCCAGTGTTTACTGTCACCCTGTGCCCACATATATAATGATGGAATTGTTCTAATCCAAACACAACAGCTAACATTTTTCTCTGTATGTTGAAGCATCAGGTTTTTGGTCCTGTTAATGTCCTGCTGTCCTTGTTAGTGTCTCCTTTTTTGATGCTCTCAAAAGCTTCTTTCTTTTGAGGAGTCCAAATGAACTTGATGTCTTTGGGCATCAGGTCCCATAGTGGCTTAGTGAGTCTTGGTAGGTGTGTGGACAATTTGTTGAGGTGGTTTACTAATCCCAGGAAACTTGCTAGCTAGCTGCTTATCTTTTGGAGGGTTCATGTGCTTAATTACCTCAACCTTCTTGGGATCTGGTTTTATACCATCTTTTGATATTATATATAAGAAATGTATTTCAGAGACCCACATCATCAGTTTATCAGTACTGAACTTGCAGTTCTTTTTCCTAGCTCTTTCGATAAGTTCCTTAAGTGTGGCGTCATGCTCACTACCATCTTTCTCAAACCCATACACAGTGGTATCATCCAATATCAATAAAATGTTCTTGATGTCGCCAAAGGTTTCAAACATTGCTCTTTGGAATTCATCTGCATATTACACCCATTAGAAATCTGTTAAAGATGAATCATCCAAATGATGTAATGAAGGTTGTCAGTTCTTTTGACTGTTGATCTAGCTTCATCTACTAATATCCAGATATCACATCAACAGTTGTAAATCACTTATAGCCCCATGTAGTCTGGAGACTACATATAGGAATATGGACGTGGGTTCATATCCCGCTTCTGACACCATGTTTCGTTTTCCAGGGTTCCCTTATGACACATAGACAAGATGATGAGCAAAGCTGTACACATGTTTATTCCATGATGGTCAACAGTAGAAAGATGGTTAGTACCATTAGTGACTAAGGGAGCTAATTGCTCCTACTTCTGGAGAGTTCTACTAAGGAGGATTACTAGGTAATACAATACTAATCATGGTTTTTACTTGCTTTAGAAGCTAAGGTGTAAGGGTTAGCATTGATCCCTGATGTTTAAAGCATCCCAATAGAGAAGTGCCACAGGAATCAAGTAATTTTTATCACTAATCCTATGTACATGTGGAGTTTCAATGTTATAAACAGCTTTGGGTCATATTCTGTTTGTATGGAAATGGACTCTAGTATTTCTAAAATGTAGGGTTCTTTGTGTTCTTCCAGTAGAACAATAGAAAAAAATCCTGCCATGATATTATGTGCAAAAGACAATAGCTGTGGAGAGCTATGATGGGATTGTAGAAGTGATAAGTAGAAAGAAAATGTCTGGTGTTAAAATGGTATTAATTAAATGCTGGTTTAAGATAAGTTTGTCTTCCTCTAGGTTGACTCGCATGTTTGGATTTTGGCATTTATAAAGTTTTAATGTTCTTTCTTGTACTTGCAGATAAACAGATGTTCCATATTATCACTGGACCAAATATGGGTGGCAAGTCAACTTACATCAGATCGGTAAGTAAAAACAATAATAAAATCAAACATACGCTGCATCAATAACTGAATAAAATTATCCAACTTTTAAGATTTTACTAACACAACAAAAGCTTATTTAGAAACCTCAAATAATTTTTTTTTTTTTTTTTTTTTTTTTTTTAGCTGACACCCTTTTAGGAGTCAGACGTGATCATTTTGTTACAGAAAATAATTTAAAGTTCAAATGATAATAAATTTCTAAGATCAATGAGTGTTACATTATTATTATTTGATAACTAAAATTTTAATTCCAGCATATCATGAATGTAGGGTTCCCATGCATCCTGGAAAACAAAATGTAAATTTTCCAGGACTGGAAACCTTGGGAAAATGGGCGGTTTTTTTTTTGGTTTTTTTTGTTTTTGTTTTTTTAAACCTGAAAAATGTTTGTAGGAAAATTTAAATTATCTGAGAATCTCTCTCTCTCTCTCTCTCAAATCACAAAATTAATATCATTGTTACAGTTAATAAATATACTCTAGGCTATTTTAAACATAGGGTTGATATTCTACATTCAAAACTGGAGATTTTTTTTTAAATGTATTTAAATAAAAATGTGTTGTAAATTTCAGGGTGAATATAAAAGACAATTTCCCTTGGATTTCGTATTTCAACTTTTTATAGTAACCAGAACCCATGTCTGAAGAATATGAATACAAATTATTGTTCATTTGCTATTTTTTGTTTGTTTAAAAACGACTCGCTTGGGGAATAAAATAGTCAATTTTAACTGAAAATGTTTTTAGGTGAATTGTAAATGTAAGTATGAAACTTTCAATAGAACATTTTCATTCAAAATTATGCTATTACAAGATAAATGCCAAAAAAAGTTTAATTCAAAATGTTTACTTTTGTTTTCAACTTATTTGTCTAATATTTGTTTAACTTTAAATTAGTGCTTTTAATGTACAATGTAATTTAAGTAAGAACGAATCCAAATAGAAACTATTTTTACTTCTTTAAAACAAGACCTGCAAGTTGTCAAATTTATTTTATTGAAGTCAATGTATGAATTATTTGCTGAAGATATTTCTGCTAAAAAGATTTAAAATAAGCAGAAGGGTAGTGTGACTAGGTCAACTCCTAGTCACGGCATGAAGCTGTGATACTTCTCCTACCAGCATTTTGGGGTTGACTCTTAGTCGCTGCCACCAATGTGTGACCCGGTCAATCGACGGTCATTGCTACCCAGCGGAATCCTTTGGTCATGGTACCAAATGGGATGGTTGGTCGATTTTTTTTTCTAGTCGGAAATTAACCTTAATATATGCGTGTTGAGGCTATCTGCATCCGTCACACTTTGTAATCTTTCTTTATTTTATTTTTTTCTGCAATACTTTTGTGGTAGGCATTAGATTTTGCAAGCAGTGTAAAGTTCCTTTTTTTTTTTTTTTTTTTTTTACAGCCTTCTCTGCCATTGCATCTGCCTCTTGTTGCAATACTTTGATGCTGCCCATTATTTTTTTTGTTTGTTTCTTTGTGATCATTTTTGTGGTGTCAAAGTCTTTACTTTAAAGTCATTTGCAGATTTCTTTTTCTCCTCCAAATAACTAATATACATCATTCTTGAAGATTTGTACTGCTGTATTAGGGGTTTGGGTATTATTTTTAATGGTCCATCTGACAATGAACCTTGTATAAGCCTTAGAGAAATCTGTCTTCTCTTTCAGGTTTTCTACCAAAATGTCATTGTTTACAGTGTATCCTCTTTCAACTGCTGCTTGCCCATGTGAAATTCTTTTTCAGTAACTTCCACAGATTTGTGTATTCTACATTACCTCTTAAAAAATTTCCTACAAATGTGTGTGCTTGACAGGAGTTACTTCTGTAGTTAAACTCTAGGAACTCTTGTTTATTTTCTTAGGCTATCTCAGTGAGTAATCTTTCATATTCAGCAAGAATTTGGTCACAATGCTGTGCAGTATGCTATTTGGTATTCAGAAGCTGCTTTTTAAATTTTAATACGGCACTCCTCTGTTCACTAATCATGAACAAAGGATCAAGAGATCTTAAATGTTTTACTGCCACATAATTCTGTGGACACCTTTCCAGCTGATCCTTTGCTGATGGAGAGAGGAAGATTAGAGATTCTTTTCTGAAATGTATGCCCAGTAGTTGGTTGCCAGGAAGATTCTCAGATTTGATAATAGCATGTTTTATGGCAAAGCTAATGTCAACCTGTTTTAATTGTACATGAAGCTCTTTGTTCAGCACATTAATTTTGAACAATTGTAAGGGTGTACTGTTGACTTCAATTACATCTCTCTCTTTATGAAATATGGATGCAAATTAACCAGGATTGCCAAAAAGGGCACCATGGGGAGCATCCTTTTGAAAACCCTGAAGGAAGTGTCTGAACAGCTTTGCCATATAGATAAAAAAAAAAATAGTTTGGCTTCAAAAAGGGGTCACCAACAGCCTTTTTTTATTATCAGATAGGACACTGATGTTGATTTCACCTTGCAAAATTTTTTGTAGTGGTTCATAAATTTCTGTACAGATGGCCCACTCTGCCACTGGCAAATCTTCTATCCACTTGTGAGCATAAAATTTGAGGGGGAATTTTGAGATTTTTGTGATTTCAATGAAATCATCCTGCCTAGCTGGTGTATCATGAAAAATCTGCCAAAGGGCTCTTAGGCTTTCATCAATCTTCCATCCTATCTCCTCACCCTGTTGGAAACTCCCATGCACTGTATGGAGACCACAGCTCTCAGGGTTTACTAACCTTCAAGCATTCAGGTCCTCCTTGCTTCTGTCATCCTCAAATAATCTCATGAACTTCTATTTTATGTGTGGGCTGTCTATAGATATTTGTAGGAGCTTGTTGGGATCTAGTGGAGATAGAGAATTCTTCATTCTCTCAACAAGCACCTCTGCTTTGGTATAAACCATAAAGTGAGAGCCCAGGTAATTTACGACTACCTTCTCTTCATTTTCATTCCAGTACCAAACAATTAAGTTCATTTGCTCAGTCTGAATAACCTTATTCAAGCATTCATGAAATGAAATGACGTAGCAATTTTATGAGTTCCTCTCTGAAAAAGGGTGCCAAGCCAAAACAAATCGGGTATGCTGCTTTGGTTGTACTACACGCAATTTTTTTGGCAAACAACATGCCCAAACCTGAACAGGGGCTGAAAGAAAAATGACTGTCATTTTTAGCACCCAGCAGATCTCTGCTTCCAAAACAGCTTCACTTGAAAAATATGTATTAATTTGTTGTGTGACTTGGGATGGAGCTACACTTTCAGAAGTTGGTGGTTGGACTACTCTCTTGACTGTCTGCCATTGTTGCCAGCTTCAGAATTCTGGGTGAAAGGTTGATTAAAGAAATCAGTCATTTGCAGTTCGCTCCCTTGACTTACTCTAGCCCTTGTTTCCTTGTCCTTTGGCATGGCTTTTAATGGTAACCCATGTTGCTGATGTCAAATGATTTTTGCCATATCACCAGCCACATATCTTATCCAGGTCTTGAACTCAAGATTGTCATGCCATTCTTAAACTTACACTTTCTTGACATTTCTGTCCTGACTACTACTTCTGTAAATTAAGTTGAAATAAATTATCAGAATTAATAGATATGCTATCATATCCAACATCATTCAACAAGTTGTTTATGGTTTAACAACTATTTTTAGTTATAAATATCTGAGAAAAATCAAGATTATCTGGGAAAATAAACAGTATTTGAATAAGAGATTACACCTTGTGAAAAAAAAAAGATATTCATTTAAAGAGACTTTCTTCTTTGATAAGTATTAATAACTGTTATATCCCGTACCTATGAACACTAATGGGTATGTCCTAATCCTCATAAATATGTTGGACACTATTGTAAGTGGGCGTAATATGCTGTCTAAGTAGTCCACAACTAGCAGTTGTTTACCTACTTCACGCCACTGGCGAGTATTGTATTTCATAGGCTTTAGTTTATTCATTAAAGAAAATTTGGTAAATTTCTATGTAAGGTCCCATTCAAGTTTGCCGAGGGGGGTGACTTTCTAGTATTTTTTTTTTTTTTTCTGTGATCTGAACTAATTTGATCCTCAAACCCACCACAATTTTAAATTTTTCAAAAAGAAACATCTTACATTTTAAGGGGGATGGTCACTTTCACGTTTTAATTCAATGTAAAATGATCGCCCATTTCTGAAACAGTTAGCACTGGAAAGGACAACTAACCAGATGGGAACTTTTGTGCTTTGTGCATTCTGTTAAGGTTTCTTGACTGTTGACTCAATGAATTACTTAATTATGATTATCTCAAATCCTCCTAATAATTTCTATCACGTGTATATCCTTGCTTGAACTGGTTTCTAATGCTCCAGATGGAGTGGTGGCTTATGTATAGTAGTCATGGGTCATGGGAGCACAGTCCTATGGGTAAGGGAAACTCAGATGAGTTACACCACAGAATTTGTGATCGAGCAGCGCTATATTGAGTCTGATTTGTTACCACTTTGTCACCGAGGCCCATTGGTACAGTTGGTATGATGCTTGTGTCATATCGTAATAGTCCGGGTTCAATTCTTGGTAGTGGCTGCTGAGTCCCAAATATAGGATGAAACGGCCATCCAGTGCTTTCTGCATTCTGTTGAGGTTTCTTCTAGCCTTTATGAATTACTTAATTACAATTCTCTCAAATCCTCCTAATACACACACACACACACACACACACATATATATATATATATATATATATATATATATATACACACACACACCCTTGTCAGTTTTGAACCCAAGATACTTCATTAGTCCTACATCATAAAAAAAAAAGATAAGAATAAAACTGGTTAAATGTATCAGTATTAGACATAATGGTAAATTATGGAAACTTTGTGAACAAATGCTGTCCTGAAAAATTTTTAAAATGTCCTAGAAATGATTTCTTAAAAAGAGTGGGAACCCTGTATGCCAGAATTATTAATAGTATTTTTCTTTATTAATTTTAAATTAATATTAATTTCTTTTCTGTTTCTAATAAAATGTGGCTATTTGCATGATCCTTTTGCATCTCATCTGTTTTTTTGTCCTTGAGATTCTTCTAAATGTGCTAGTGTTTTAGTAAAAATGAAAGTTGTAAGCATGATCAGCATGATAAATGGTTTACAGGAACATCCTGTCATGTTAATCATGCTTTTCAGTGCATTAACCTTCATCATGTTTTTATTCATTTCTTTTTTCCTCTTCTGCCAGGTGGGGTGCATTTTACTTTTGGCACAGCTTGGCTGTTTTGTTCCCTGTGATGAAGCTGAGATATCAACTGTAGACTGCATTTTGGCTCGGGTTGGAGCAGGAGACAGCCAGCTGAAAGGAGTGTCCACATTCATGTCAGAAATGCTTGAAACTGCATCGATTCTGAGAGTAAGCCCCAATTATGTCTTTTTTTTTTTTTTTTCTTTTTTTTTTAATTCTCTACAGCATTGTCTAATGTTTTTGTACTGTGTTAAACTCCATGATTCCATTATGATAATGTTTTACTAAAACCCCTGATAGTTCCAAGCATTAAATTGTTTGGTGTTTATCAAGACATTCATTGGTGTTACCTTATCACATTGGCATGACAAAAAAAAAATTTGTTTAGTTATAACTGAATTTTTTTTCTGTCATTTGTTCCATTGCAAAATATCTTGACAAAAAGAAGTGTCTTCATAAAAGTTAAGTACAGTCCCTATTTTTGATTGTAGTCCTTCATATTTATGCAGAAAAAATAAATTCCAAGCAGTAATAATTTATTTTAATACTATTTAAGATATAAAATAGCATTGAGAAATGTCCAGAATTATATTCTTAGAAGCAGCATTGTGAACAACCATAAACTGTTTTCCACATTCAAACCTTATTTTTGTCATTAATGCACCAGGCAAACTGCATCAAAACATCAAAGAATATCATTGCAATTATTTCTATCATGTAATAAGTCTTTCATGAAGTTTGTCACAGTGCCAAAATACATCACTTATTTTTATGAGATTAATAAAGTAGCCAACACTAATAAATAATTATAGAGCTGAAGAGGCACTGCATAGTTTTGTCATCACTTCCTATATCAATCTCTCATCACTGGTATACTACTCTTCCATAGCTTCATTGCTACTTCCATAGCCTTCATTCCTATTTTTGACTGAAGTCATGGTAGTTTAAGATGTTTTAGGTTCACTGATGAGATGTTTTCTTTATTCTACACATCTTTTCTTTGTTTGCTTTTTGACACAGTCCTTTCAGCTTAGCAATTTTCAATAACAAACTCATCCCATACTACTGGAGCATGCTATTTCATGTACCAGTATGTATACTATATTGGTCACGAATAAAAATGAACAGGTTGGACTTGCATGCTTGAAATGACAATTTTTTGAGTAGCTATTTTGAAAAAATTCATTGTTATCCAAAATTCTTTGATTAATTATTTTTTTTCCAGTCTGCAACTGAGAATTCTTTAATTATTATTGATGAACTTGGACGTGGCACATCAACTTATGATGGATTTGGTTTGGCTTGGGCAATTTCAGAGTAAGTGTTGTAAATTTGCTTTGATTTGTTGTTGTACTAGCTGTAATGAGATATCCACTTACATTTCTTTTTTTTCTTTTTTTTCTTTTTCTTTTTTTCATTAGTCTGAGAAAGGGGACTTTTGAATTCCTTTCAGATTGGCAGACTTATGGTTGAATGTATTCCATTTGGACAAGATATAAAACTGACACTTCAGTGAAATGAAGGACTTCACTTAAAGGATAACTGTTATTTGGAGTGCATTTTAAGCCAGTTAGCAGGTACATCAGGAGGTAAATGAGAAAACAACTGGATGAGTAAGCCCTTACTGGAGGTTGTTGGTGGCAGTGATATTTTAGGACTGGAATAGAAGTCACAACTACAAAATTAATTTCTAGCATAAAATGATGAATGCCCAAATACAAAAAAAACATGGGGTGAATATAATAAAATTATAATAGGCTGATTTACACAAAGAAAAATGATGTTAGGGATATAGTATGATGGTGTTTAAGTTCTGATGGATTGCAAATTCTATTTGTATTTCTGCACTCCTTTGAGAAAGGAATGAATCTTCTTCTCCCCCCAGCTATGCGTAAGTAGAATGACAGACCGAGTCCTACAGCATTGGATGGCAACTGGTCTACTGCAGAAAGAAATGGCAACCTACTGCAGGAAAAAATCTGTTTTGTCGTCATATATTGAAACATACATGATAATAATTTGCTGAAAAAAGCATATCATGATGAAAAAAAGGCCCCAAACTTAATAAAAACAGTTTTATCATCAAAATGTTTAAGAGGAAAGACCAAAGTATATTTTGATGATTTTATTAAATTTTTTAATCCTTTCCAGTACATTCAAAATTTGGGTTAAAAATCTTGTCTGTCTTGCATCAGCAAAGGCATGAAATATTAGTATAGGAAATTGTAGTGTCATTTTTGCAGTAAAAATTCTTGTGAAAATCAAATAATTTTCAGATTTTGATGAAATTTTCAAGACTTAATTTCAAATGAAATTTTTTTACATGTTACTGCCCCCCACCACCACTTAGGAAATTTCAATAAACTAAAATTCCACCCTCTTTGTATTTAAATTAATTAAAAGTGAGAATTTTTTTTTTTTTTTTTAACAAACAGAAACTCCATTTATCAAAAATCTGCTCTGAATTGTAAAATATAAAATCTAATAAAACTAAGACATTATTTAATTACAAAAGTTTTTAATTGTCAAAGATGCTATTGTCTTAACAAAAATTCGTTCTTTGATGAATAATGAATTTTTACAAGAATTGTTTTTATTTTTTTAATTTTAATTAAAAAAAATTTTATTATGCTTTAAATCTTTTAAAATTCTGTATTTGTTCCTTTTTAGGTGATATTCTCACGTAAAAACTATATTTACTAATCATGGAAAAGCTTAGTACAAAATCAAACACCAATATTTTTAAAGAAGTTTTTTTTTTGTTTTTTTTTTTGTTTTTTTTTTTCACCCTTAACACTTTTTATTCTCTTGTCTTGAAAACAAAACATGTCCGACCTCTTTTGTCTTTACTGCAATATTTCATCAATTGAGTTTCCTCTCATGACTGTTGTCACGAAACGTCTCCGACTGGGGCTCACTCTCGGTGAGGGTGACAAGTATTGTCACAACCCTTATATTTATGCCCACTGTCTGGACAACGCCAAGTGAATTGCTGATATCAGGTTGGACAATTTTATGGGCTGTCACCCTACCACAAGCAAACAGAAGTTGCAACACAGGACCTTTGAGCGACCAAAACAAAGATACCACAAAACATACAATTAAAAGTATATGCTCCTTTTATTAATACCCCCATAAAACTTACATTTACAATTTATCTCTATCCTTTACCTTTTTTTTTTTTTTTTTCTTTTTTGTCTTTTCATGATATCGCTGTTTCTCAGACGATTAATTCTTCTTGGCACAAAGTTTTTCTCTCAAAATTTTCTCTTTTTTTTTTATTGCACGCTTATCTTGTTATTCTTTATTTTATAACTTGTCGTATTTCTCATCGAGAGTGAAATAGGTTACTGAGGTCGGCTTCCTCGTTGTCTTTCATATTCTTGCATTTTCTGTTCATCAATTTCAAATGTAGTAATGCATGGCTGGGACAGATTTTTCCTTTTCCTTTCTTCATATATCTTCTATGCTTATCATTAAACTCATTTTTGTTCTTTCAGTTTTTTGCAAGCATTCAATTCTGGTTTAACAAGCCATATTCTTCCTTGCTTGTGACCTGATTCAAACTTCTCAGGATTTCTTCCTTCAATGCGTTTGTTCCATTCAGATTCTGTTTTCACCGTCAGTTAAGAAACAAAAGGGCCAAAGTATCTTGTATCTTTCTGACTGTTTTCGTAAGCTCCACACATGAGTTGGCTTGGGGTGTTAGCTTACATTATTCACCAAATGACAGGCACGTCTTTTTATGACTAGAATTTGTGACCAACTAATCTTACAATAAATTTCTCCTCGTGGTCTCGGACTTCTCGCCATTTTGCACCATACGAGAGCATTGACCAATCAGCATTCTGCCCTTATAAAGGCCATTTGTTGCCAAGGAACTGTTTGCCAGCTTATTACTATTAATAACAAGACTGTTTCAGGGGGTCCTTGGCAACTGCCAATCAACCCACATGCAATCTTGACACACTTAATTTCCATACATCTCTTCTATATCCACTGGTGAGAGAGAGAGAGATTCTACTTTTGAGGAAATATGAATTTGACTAGCCCCAGGGTCCAAATTTGTAACACTGTCATATTTGCAGAACATTTTGTAAATTTCCAACTGAGCTTTTTATTTACTCCACTTTGAATATTGTTCTTTCTCTTATACTTGTTTTGTTTGTATGTTTTTTTTTAGTTTTTTTTTTTTTTTTTTTTTTGTGTGTGTGTGTGTCTGTCAGTTTTAGTAAAATATCAAATGGAATTTTATTTCATCCACAAATGTCAAACTTGCCATGTCTAGTAAAGAAATTTGTCAAAAAAAAAATCATTGTAGAACTGAAATCTTTAAACAATTTATTCCAACTCTGTAGAAATAGTTTTGTTGGGTGATTCATGCAAATTTGAATACAACAGGGCCATATAACTCCATTGCATATTTACACAATTAATTTGACTATGGTGTGACTCTGGGGTTGATCAAACAAAAAGAGAAAGAAAGAGGAGGAAAAAGTCTACTAATTAGATGATAATTGTTGAAATTCATAAAATAGATTAAAAAGTTGAAAAGAAAAATTAAAAACAATGTGTTAAAAAATCATGTTTCAAAATAATTCAAGGAGAATCAAACCCAAATTTAACTGGACGGAATTCAATAAAATTGAGCAAAACCAATTCTACCTATCCTTCCCCATGATTAGAAAGAGACCATTAATGTATCTGCAAAGATGTCAAATAGCAAAAAAAAAAAAAAAAAAAACGTTGTTGATAAAGAGATCTGGGTGGTCATTAAAATAACATTTAAAGATTTCTCTGAACGAAAAAGCCAGAAAAAAGAAACATTTGGTTTATCCACCACCCAGAAGAGAAGTGTCCCACAGAGATAAGGGCCAACTTGATGCATTCATTCATTATAAATTCTGTGATAATTCATCAAGAAAATTTTTATATCCAAACATTAATTTGGATTTCTTTGGATACAAGTGATATAGAAAATTAATTACTATTTTGGAGTGACCATAAAAAAAAGTCTGTGTAGCCTTATTAATCGTTAAAAAAAAAAAAAAAAAATGCATAGACAGTGAAAAGATAACGTTTTGATTTTAAGGAGATTAGGAATAATTTTCTTTCTCCCAATTCTTGAACGGTCTGATCAATCTAGAAATCACAGCACAAGACAAGCTGATAAAGAAAGATTAATAACTGAAAATCCCTTTGGTTTTTGCCTACGTCATCTGGGAGTTAGATTTGTTACAGACAGTGTACCAGCCTTAGGAGCAGGTTGTTAGATGCTGAGAAAGTGGGAGAAGGAAGGAAGAGCTTAGTATCACCAATATGGGCTGATATTGTGAGATGAGATGTGAAGAAAGTTGGAATTAAGGGATGGCTTTATTCCTCTGACCACTCTCAAAAGGGGGCTGGACAATCCCAAATTCGGAAAAACCACTTGAGTAAATATATTTTGAGAATATGGAATTTTAAAAAGATTGTTGCTTAGGGTGGAAGGCAACCAAACTCAAACTCTGATCAGCCCCACCCCAGCAAAACTACATATAAGCCATATAGAATCCCCACATTAGTGCTACTGGAATCCATATTGTTTGCTAAGACCTCTTGACAGCCCTGAAGACCAGAACTTAAAAATTTTAGTTACTACTAAAACAAGCTGCAGACTGCAAAGAGGATCCCAGTGTCATTTGATTATAACAGTAAGTGGAAAGGGTTAAGATGGCTGTATCCAAAAAATCACATATAAACAAAATCATTGTTACATTTTTAACCCAAGTTAATTCTTTATTCCAAAGGATTCTTTTTTTGTGTAGCTCCCAACTGTCAATCTGTTCACTTCAGTTTGCATCATTACTGACCTTCTCACCATCTGAGATCAAAAAAAAACAAGTGAATGGTCCACTCAGCTGGCATTTGTCTAATGCCAGCTGAGTGGACTCTGCCCACCATCACAATACTAGCAACAAATGAGCCATTTGTTAATGAATGAGGAGTCAGCCAGATGGTAGCTATGGTGGTCTGAAGGAACTTGAAGACCAACATCGGGCTACATTGTTGGTGGCCATTGACAAGGATCGATAAGTGGGTTACATACATGGTTGCCATAACCAGGATCAATCATTGGGGTGACAATAGAAATAACATAATTTTTAAAAAAAACATGTAAATCTGTTAGGCTTGAATGTTCTATTCTTTAGAAGAATCAAATTATCCATTGTTGAAAATTGCTAAGATTCTCTAATGCAACCATTCTTCTGATTTTTCCAGGTACATTTCAACAAAAATCCAGCCGTTTTGTCTTTTTGCTACACATTTCCATGAATTGACTGCTCTTGCAGATGAAGTGCCAACTGTGAATAATTTGCATGTCACAGCATTAACCACTAATGAGACATTGACTCTTCTCTACAAAGTCAAACAAGGTCAGTAAATAACATTAAGTTTTGTGTTTATATAATTTCAATAAATAAAAACAAAAAGTTCAAATTACTTATCCAAACCAACTAAAAGTGATTGTAATGTTCTTCAATGTTAAGATAATCCTTTGTGTGTGTTTTGCATCATTTACATTACTTGGACTGATATCCTCATCTTCATTGCCATATTCACAACATTTTGGGTGTTGTACACTCCTGCCTTCTTCGGGTGATTGGAATTTCGAACTGAACCATTTATTTTGTCCACTGGGGTAGTTTGTTCTAGTTCCATGTGCCAGGCTTCTTCCGGATATCCGTTATTTCCCTATAACTCAACTCTCCAAGTTTTTGGGTTCACTGCTGCTATGGCCTGGTATTGAACTCACAACTCTTTGGGTCTAGTCACTGGATTTAACCAATGTCTTTATCCACTGGGCCATGTGTCCTTGAGAAGAATCTACTCCGGTGGACAAAATAAAGAGTTCAGTTTGAACTTCCAGTCACTTGAAGAAGGTCAGAGCATACAATGGTCGAAACATTGTGAATATGGCAATGAAGATGAGGATAACAATCTGAATAATGCAAGTAATCATCATGCCACATCTGAGATATATATATCTCAGGCGACCTGACGATTGCATCTAGCATGAAACACTGTCGCCTCTAAGTGTTGACTTCTATGTTCACTTTTATATTTACACACACTCTATCTCTGATGTTGAGCATTTTATCCCATAAATATAGCACATCTTAAGACCATATTTCTTTATATATATATTAGAAGAAAGAGTCCATATGAGCTTCTTATAGTATGTAAAATAGCTGTGTTGGTTAATAAAACAAAAGAAGTATCAATGTGATCAGTACAAAAAACATCTATTAAATGTTAATTATTAACCATGACAAATGAAGCACGGAAATTAAGGGTTTAAGTCTGGAATTTTCGAGCATCAGTGGTGCAAGAAATAAACAGAAACGAAGGAAGACTCAGCATCAGTTGTCCTTATGGCTTGTGTGAATCCTGTTGTAGATGGTATTAGTAAAAATCTGTCCTCTGTCTGATTCCTCGCGTGTGAATTTTTTTTTTTTTTTTTTAAATAAACTTAGATGCAAAAATTGGCATTGGGGGTGAACATGTTAGGCTGTTTTGTCTTTATTGGTGTGGTTAGTAGGGGAGTGAAATTTTGAACATAGAGGAACAGGGTCATAGGATTTGGGGTGGGGAAGACGCCCTTTCTATGTGGTCAGTGCTGATTTGGCAAGATAGGAAAAGTGTTAGAAAAAGGGAAAGAGGTAATAAAAATAAAATGAAAGAAAAAAGAGGAAAGGAACAGCAAAAAAGGGTAAAACATTTTGGAAAACCATTGTCAGAAAATGGGTGGGTGCAGTAAAAATAAACAAATAAAAAAATATTATTTAAAAAAATTTTATTTTTATTTAAAATTTTACTATTATTATTAATTTAAAATTTTACTATTATTATTAATTTAAAATTTTACTATTATTATTAATTTAAAATTTTACTATTATTATTAATTTAAAATTTTACTATTATTATTAATTTAAAATTTTACTATTATTATTAATTTAAAATTTTACTATTATTATTAATTTAAAATTTTACTATTATTATTAATTTAAAATTTTACTATTATTATTAATTTAAAATTTTACTATTATTATTAATTTAAAATTTTACTATTATTATTAATTTAAAATTTTACTATTATTATTAATTTAAAATTTTACTATTATTATTAATTTAAAATTTTACTATTATTATTAATTTAAAATTTTACTATTATTATTAATTTAAAATTTTACTATTATTATTAATTTAAAATTTTACTATTATTATTAATTTAAAATTTTACTATTATTATTATTTTAAAATTTTACTATTATTTTTAAAACAAAAAAAATATTTTGTTTTTTTTTTACCCCCATTTTATGACAATGGTTTTCCAAAAGAATTTTTTTATCAAAATGTTTTATCCTTTTTTTGCTGTTTCTTTCCTCTTTTTTTCTCTTTAATTTTATTTTTATTACCTTTTTCCCTTTGTTACCACACACTTTTCCTATTCCGCCAAATCTCTCAGCACTGACAACATACAGAGGACGTCTTCCCCACTCCAAATCCTATGACCTCCTTCCTCTATGTTCAAAATCGCACTCTCCTGTTACCCACACCGATAAAGACAAAACAGCTTAAAATTCACCCTGATCCAAATTTTTGAATCTAAGTTTATTTTCAAAAAAAAGTTTCACACAGGAGGAATTGGACAGAACAGATTTTTATTAATAGTACCATATATAACAGGATTCACACCAGCCACAAAGACAACCATTGGTGAGTTTTCTCTATTTCTGTTTTTCTTGAACTGCTGATAAAGGACACAGACATGCCGGAAAATTCCGGACTTAGACCTTTAATTTCTGTGCTTCATTTTTGTCTTGTGGTTTCTAAATAATCTAAATTTACTTTATGGTTGCTTAGTTCTAAAGCCTTTATATATTTAATTTTATTATTAGCAAATATTTATTGCTGGAGTTATTAGATAATCTAACTTGGACTGATTTAGGTAAGTTCTCTAGGATTTTATGATGGTGGTTTGAATCTTTACTGGCATATCTATTGTTATATAGATCTTTGGTATATAGTTTGTAATAACCACTATTCAAGTCTAAGGTCACATCAAGAAAATTGATCACTTTAGCATTGGCGGTAGTGGTAATATTTGTTCATGATCATTTTGTAAGCTCCTTTCTCAATCAGTCTGTTTCATGGATTAGTCTTATGGAGGACAATTACTGTTCTCAATAGTGTCCGGTGACCTTAATGTAATATATATATATATATATATATATATATATATATATATATATATATATATATATATATACTCTCCTGTCGTTTTTGATATATGAGTGTACAGCAGCTCAGTTCTTAGAATCAAACAGCCAGACTACCTGCACATGTGATTTGATTATAGTGGTAAAGGCTTGTGCACAACCAACCATACTTTTGGGAAGTCAAACACATGTTTTAAATTCAAATTTATCCTTCAATTAAACCAATTGCCAACCAAAGCTGTAGAAACCAGTCTGTCCTGCAGTTTTATCCATGGTTGGGATTGGGGAGAAGAGATCAATTCATACCTTTTCCAAGAGTATTTGCACATAAGTGAATGTAACAAATTCTACTGGAATTTCAACTTGCTCTCTGATTTCTCAATCTGAGCCGCTATCCATTAATCTACTGTACCTTCACGTGCATAAATAGTTTGTTTGTTTTTTTTTTGACAATGTTGTTTCTACTGGTATACCTTTTAAACTCTTAAAAATACTTGGGAAAACTATAATCTCAGCTAGTGAGATTTGTGAAAATTTAATACTAAATCTAAGATTTATATCCTTGGCAATACTACCCTATTTTAAGATGTTAAATAAAAAATCATGGTTGAAATTTCATCTGTGGAAAATGATGCCATAGACTAAAACATGTGATAATTTAGTTCTTGCTCCCTTGGAATATCTCTTGGGGAGAGGGGAGGAAACTTCATGTTTTTAATGAATCCTGAAAATATGAGATCAAGCATCCTCATGTTACAAGAGTGCTTCCTCTGTCTCTGAAATTGAACCATTACTCTTTTGTGTACATTTTTGTAGCTTGATAATTAATGCAAAGACATGGTAGGTTTTCATTTAAACATAAATTTAAGCTCTGAATATTAAGATATTCTGTCTACCACTTTGTAAATTAGACAACAGAAAATACAATGAAAGCAGAAACAAGAATATTGATTCGTTTACTAAAACGACTTCAACCACTATAGGGTTAATTAAGGTTTTGAATTGTGGTTGTTTTGGGTATAGCTTGATGTTATATGTGGATTACTGATAGTTTTGTTTATAGGTTAGTTGGTGACTTTTTTATCGGTTATTTTGTATTCAGTTCCTGATACAAGTTGGTTATTAGAGATTGCATTGTTACTTTTAGCAGGGATCTTTATGAAGTCTGAAGGTTTTTTTTAATAAAGATTTTACGTAGTTTTGTTGGAGTTTTTATATTTTGATATAAAGGCAAAGGGGGATTGATTTTTATGATGTAACTATTTCACTAGCACTAAAATGTATGAATGTTTGGACTTTTTTTCAAAGCTACAAGACTACAGGAAGTCTATGAATATGATGAATTTCTAATGAGTTCAAGCACCAAATGGTCTGTAGCTCAACTGTAAATATGGAAACTTGATTTGGTAGTCTAATCTGTTTTGTGAGACTGTCAACCCATGGCTGTTTCTCCCATTTTATTTGAGATGAATATGGCTCAATATTTGTTTTAGTTTAACAAATTTGCTTCTATTTATATTATGTGTGGTGATTTTGTTGAGTTTTGGGTCTATATGTCAAGTATCTATAGAGGTGACTTGAAAGTGTTAAGGGAACTATGATTTGGGGGATGTGTTTGAAATATCTTGGAAGGAATAATACAAATTTTTATAATTAAATTTTTTTTTCTTTTGATGAGTGTCAAGTATCTGTTTTTGTTGTATGAATGTCCCTTTGAAAATATCAAATAAAAAATTAAAACAGAACCTCTCTATTTTTGTCCAAACACACACCCCACATATACTTGTATATGTGAACAATGTAATGAACATAAGATGCAATTATTTTAACAATATATTTTACTTGGTAATTAACAAATCAATAAAGAGGATTTTGTTAGAATTTATACTAATTTAAATTATATTTTCTTCTGTGCAGGAGTTTGTGATCAGAGTTTTGGGATCCATGTTGCTGAATTAGCTTATTTTCCGAAACCAGTCATTGAGGTGATTTTTTTTTTCTCTCTCTCTCTCTCTCTCCTGCCCCATTACTTTATACATTTATTTTGTTGTGGGCCTTTTGTTCTTAATATTTCTATATTTTCTATTTTTATTGAGACATTTGTATTATGAAACCATTTTTAAATAACTTTTCTATACCAGAGGATTCAAGTGTATGGAAAATGAATAGCAAAAATATTTTTGTTTGAAAACTAAAATGAGCCATGAATGCTTGGTGTGAGATCTTTTTTACAGTTCTGACAGCTTTTCCTCAATAAACTGATGAGCATGGAATTTTAAACTTTGTAATGTAGGATACAGTTTTCTCAATTGGAATCATGCTTTCTGACCTAAAAAGTTGAGAAATTGATAATTGGAAGAAAAAGGGTGTTATGGTGGAAAGATGAGGAATAAGAAAACTAAAGAAAACAAAAATCTAGCAAAAGATATATATATATATATGTATATATAAAAACAACATATTGAAGGGAGGTGGCGAAAAGTTCCTGACTCCAACCCATGTAAAAATCTGACCAACAAGCATCTGATTTTTTTAACTTCTTGGTTTGGAACTTTTCAGTATCCCTTCATAAACATGGTCAGTAGAAGAGATGAAGATGAAAAAATGAGAGACCAGCTTACTGGCTGAATATCAAATGACAATGAGTAAACGATTGAATTTGTGGGAATGGAAAAACATAAAAGATGATATAAGTAGATAATCTCTATCTTATCTGTTGGAACAAAAATCTGATAATGTATTAGCTTTATATACAAAAGAAAGAAAAAAATATTACTCTGGGAGCTTGTTCTGTCACCAGTGTTTTCTTATATTGGCTCCAGTGGTCAATGCAGAATAGACATTACTAAATGACATAGCAAATACCCATGGTATAATATGTAAGTTCAGGTTTTCTTTAAATTATTCTCTATGTTCTTATGTCCTGGGTATGACAATAAACTACATCCAATTGTTTGTATGCGTAAACTTCACCTACATGCTGTTAGCTTATATGAGAAACCTACAAACTATCTGTTTATATAGGATGGTGCCCTCAGAAAAATAATATAGTTTCTCTATACAAACAATCTATCGAAATTAAAGAGACACACATTTAAACAACTGATAAAAAATCACAATCCACAAACTGTTCACAAAGCTCCATGCTTAAAACTACCTGTCTATACAAAATACCTCTAAAATTGCAATGTATAAAATGCACATTCATGAAAACCAATTCTCAGAAACAGAAACTACAAATTCCCATCAATGGGGCCACTTGTTTGTCATAGGTGGCGACCCGTGATGCCCAGGGACACAGTCCTGGTGACTGAGTGATTCCTGATCTGGTATAAAAATGACCAGGAATTTCCACAACACATCACTTCGGTCCATACTTGGGATAGACAGGTGGATGGAATAGCCCAATCCAATCAGCTAGTTTCCTAGTGGCTAAATAATGAAAGATAATGTCTGCGACACTGCTGCAGATCCTTACATCATACTATACTTGGGTAGATATGATGGCGGAATGTAGAACCGTACATTCCTAATCCCCATAGATGTCACAAATGTCAGAAATTTGGTCATCTATAAAATCATTGTACAAGAGCATCAGTCTATTTAAAATGTGGGGAATTTGAGTCTGATCATGAAGAGTCACCTTGTGAAAGTCCCAGCAGATTCTAAAGAGTATAACATCTGGAAAAAGGAAATAAGAAGAATAAAGTACATGCAAAACATATTGTTCCAAGTAGCCAGAAAACAGGTCAAAACTAATTCTCTTCCAACATCCTATGCAAATATTGCTAAAATATCAAATTACCAAAATGACGTCCAAGAGAACAATGCAATAAGAAACTGACCTTACAAGTCTAATAGAACTACTAAAATTTAGTATATCACACAAACCAAACTCCCATAGTCAAAACAAACTTTATCGCATCAATCTCAAACAAAACAAATAATTCCAAAAACCCCAATCCAAAGTACAAAAATCCTTCAAGCAATGGAACCATCCAAACATTCACAAGAGAATCAAAAAGTTCATAAAAGAAATAACACAACCCAGTACATCATTGAAAAACCAGAAGAAATAGACATAGATGAACAAAACTCTTATCCCATCTCAAATAAGGGAACAGTCATCATCCAGACAAAGATCATCAAAAGAACCTAATGGAAAAACAAAGGAAACAAGATCAAACAAACAAGCAGAAACAAAAGACCTTCAAAAAACAAAACATGACAAGGAACAAAGTGCCGACAGACTTGAGAGCATAGAAATTATGGACTCTTCACCCACTACACATAAATCAGACAAGCAAAAACTCATAACTCCCTAATAAACATGATGCAAAAAAATTATACAGTGGAATTGTTGAGGCCTCAATGCAAATATAAATGAACTACTATTACTCAACGAATCAACTTCCTGTCATCATTTGCCTTCAGGAAACTTTCCTAAAACCAAATAAAATTAAAAATATATATATATATATATATATATATATACACACACACACACACACACACACACACACACACACACAATATAACTACATACATGACACTCAACAGATGGCATCTGGGGGTGTATTGATCCTAACCAGAAATTACACTCCCCCCCCCTGTAAAATCCTTCTAGAAACCAATCTACAAGCAACTACCCTACATAGAACCATTAACATCTGCTCTATTTACATTCCACCGCATGATCCCATAAAAGAAACTGATCTAAATAAACTAATAGAACAACTACCAAAACCATTCGTATTATTAGGTGACTTTAACAATCACAATGTTATATGGGGATCAAAGAACTCAGAAGAAAAAATGGGGAAAAACCTGGAAAATGTAATTAACAACCTATGTATTAGACTTATCATTTAGTAAACACATCCTGCATCAGGTACATACTCAGCTATTGACCTATCACTGTGTGAACCATCTATTTTTATGGATTACAACTGGCAAGTTTTCAACAATTCAGTGATCACTACTCAATTATACTGAAGAATTCAGAATCAATTGAAAAACCATCTCCCTCAGTGGAAACTAAACAAGAGATTGGAGGGAATGTAAAAACCAATGCTGTCAAAAACTTACCGACAAAGATGACGAAAAAATCCATTGACTATTTCTCTACAACATTAATAGCGATAAAATGTATACCAAAAAGCAGTGAATCAAATAAACATCAAAGAATTTCGTTCGACAAAGATTGCAAAAAGACAAGATTACAGAGCAGCACAACAAAAATTTAATACTCAACCAACAACCCATAATTTAAGTCTATTCAAACAAAAAAGAACTATGGCACATAGAACCATCAAAGAAGCTAAAAGAAAATCATGGAGAGATTACATAAATAAAATAAATTCTAATATGAAATCAAAAAAGTCTAGAATATGATAAGGAAAATCACTGACAAAAATCTATATCACCTTCCCAAAATAACAAGCAAAAAGGATATAGCAAATCTACTTGCTGAAAAAAAAATTTCCTCCAGCAAAAACTGCAAACAGCAATTCCAAAAACTTAGGCATAATGCAGAAAAAAAATAAGCTGAACTTTAACTCAAACAACAAAGATTACAACCATCTTTTTATTCTAAATGAACCTACAGATGCCATAAATGAATCACATAGTACAGCTACTGGCCCAGATGAAATTCATTATGAATTTCTTAAGTCACTATACCCCACCCCCCAATCCTTAAAATATCTGTTAAACATCTTTAATGAGATATGGTTTAAGGGAAAACTACTGAATAGCTGAAAACAAGCTACCATAATCCCTATACCAAAACCAGATAAAGACAAATCTGAACCCCTAAAATTTCTAACCCATAACATTTACAAGTTGCATATGCAAAACCCTAGGAAGAATAGTAAATAAGATTGAAGAGGTACATTGAAACTAATGATTTAATTACCAATTTCCAGAGTGGATTCCAAAATAAGAGGCGCCATAGACAACATAGTCTGCCTAGAAACTTTCATTAGAGAGGCCTTATTAAAAAAGAACACACAATAGCCATTTTCATTGATCTAGAAAAGTCCTATGAAACAACATGGATACATGGAATAATGAAAGACCTATACAATCGGGGAATTAAAGAGCAGATTACCCAATTTGATAAATAACTTTTTGTCTGATATAAGTTTCAAAGTTCGGGTTGAATCAAGGAGTCAATTGGCTCATTATACGTAGATGACCTTTTGATCTGCTAAAGATCAAAAAATATGCACACGGTAGAATGGCAACTGCAAGTGTGCCTAAATAAATTAAACTGATGGACTATAGAAAATGGTTTCAAATTCTCTCCAACCAAAACAAAGTGTATCTATTTCTACAATCAAAAAAGATGCACAATGATCAGACTCTTAAACTTGAAGGAGCAGAAATTGATTGAGAAATTGGCTGATCAACATAAATAAGATACCGAAACTTAAATTGCCAGACAGACCAACTCTAATATGAACCTATCCAAAAATTCTTGTTGGTATTAAATAACCCATTGAGGTTGATATGCCATTAAACAAAATAAGTCAAATCAAACTCTGTTCTTACAAATTGATTTGAAGACCAATGCATATACCAGTTCAAATCTAATAAAAAGTGATAAAAAATATAGGAAAAAAATGTATAGAAATTTTCTTATTTGTGAACATATTTGTTTCTCCTATGTTCACCAAATGAAGCCTGCTCAAGAGTACTTGAAATTATTGAAATTGCTCATTCTCTTTGTCTCTCTTTTTCTTTAGTATGCCCAAAAGAAAGCGCAGGAACTTGAAGACTTTCAAAATATTGATCTGAAAAGTGTTGACTTGGCTGGAGATGATGAGCCAGCTAAAAAGAAAAGAAAACTTGAGAAACAGGTAAACATTTGACCTCCAAATATTAAGTTGCTCTCAAATAAAAAAAATGGCCTACTTGAAAAATTAAGTAATGTTATATTTATATCTGACACTTCCTCTTATGGCACAAAGCCACAATTGGTTATTAGGTTTTAAAAATGCCATTTCTGGCAAACTGAATAATTTTAAGGAAACCCATGTTTATTCAATTTAGAAACAAAGATCTTTGAGTGTGTGTGTGTGTTTGGGTTTTTTGGTTGTTATTTTTAATGTTCAGTTTTTGAACTTTCAGCATTCTAAAAACCTGAATTTACTTTAACCCTGTACAAATAATTTGGGGATTTGATTAGAATCAAACAAGTATTTTCAATATTTTTTTTTTTTTTTAACATTCTTTGATCCTATAACTTATTACTTCTACTTAAGACCAGATTTGGACTTTTATCCCATACTTTGAGAATTAGTCTTTCCAGTTAAACCATCAACTTTTTTTGTTTTTTTGTTGTTTTATTTATTTATTAACTTAGTAATATTAATTTATTGAATTAATACTAATACTTGTGATCTATTTCAAGATTCTGTTACAAATATTTTGACAGTTTTATTTCCATTTATTTTTCTTTTCTAGCAGATCCATATAATGGTAAAAATATTTAATCTTAAAGCCAGCATTTTTTTTTATTTGTTGCTAAATAATCAACAATGTAATAGAAGAAAAGAATGTTGGCTACCTAATTATGATAGTTTAGTAACCTAATTGGTTACAGCATCAGCCCTAAAAGATAAGCTTCTGTGGTATAGAATGAGTCTTATTCAATTCTAAATTTCTAGTTGTTTTGATGTCTAAAAATGTTGCTCTAAAATGCAATGAACTGGGTGATAAAATGTTAGTCAAACTTGGAAAAGATACTTGGATATTTATTCACCTTCCCACTTGGATGAAATGTGACACAAGGCTTATTTTTTATTGTGGGAAAACCCTTGCATATTTGGGAAGGGTTACAAATAACTTTATTTCTCTTAGCTTTCTTTTGGTAAGCCACATGCCTCCAGTGATTAACTTTGATCACTTAATTGCTCTTAGTGCAGTCAGATGAAATCTGGGAAAAGGAGTTCAATATAATCCATTTTTTTGTTTCTTTTTTTTTGTTTAGCATCAAAGAAACATTGGAAACTTTTAGACTTGTGTACTGACCTTGTGTTGTATCATGTTTTTCTTTAAAAAAAAAGAATATTGAAAATCGAAAGTCTTCAATATGACTTATTTTTATATAGCAGAATTTAATGTCATTTATATACATAAATGTTAAAATATTTTATAATTATTTAAATTATTAAAATATCTTGGACATGGATCTTTGTATAAATATTTACTGCTTGTCATATCACCAAAATAAAAAAACACAAATTTTCTTTGTTTAAAGAGATGCTGCTGCTACCTTTTTGAAAGAATAAGTCACTTGTCACAAGACATCCATGGCAGTAAAAGGTTAAATGAATTTTTGTGGGAGATTTTTTTTTTTTTTAATTTATTTATTTATTTATTTTTTAGGAAGGTGAGCAAATAATTAAGGACTTCTTGTCAGCCATAAAGATATTGCCTCTTTCATCATTGACACCTCAGGAACTCAAGGAAGAAGTTGAGAAACTCAAAGATGAAGTGAAAGCCAAAAACAATCTTTATATTAAAGATGTTCTATCTGTGAATTGATTTACTCTTTGTAATATTTTATTTCTACTATCCACACAAGTTTGAAATGTTGATGACACTTGTTTTATATACCTTTCACCATAGGGGTTCATGTTCCAACAACACTTTGGCTATTCATTCTCTCCAGATCCTGTAAATTTTCTCTTTTAAAATATTGGTATTTAGTATTTCTTGATTGAGTAAAGCAAAATGAATAAAATTATTTTCAGTTCCTGTCATTTGACTTCAGTAGAAATATTTTACAATCTTTGCTTTATGACACAATCAGTATAGAACCTGTAAGAAATGAGGGGAATATTTCCATATCTGCCTAGGATCATTTTTTTGCTTAGCAGCTGTGAAGTGTTTTTATATATATATATATATATATATATATATATATATATATATATATATATATATATATATATATATATATATGTATGTAATTAAAAATGTACATAAATTTGCATTATTTGCTATCAGAAATAAAGATTAATTGACACATGTTCAGTCTCTTAGTTTTATTTCTTTTATTCTCATAACAACCATGTTTTCCATATCTCTTATTTGTGCTGAAATAAAGTATTCAAATGATAGATGAAAAAAGCTACAAAGTTCACTATGAACCTATGTTTAATTTTACAATCTCAGCAGAAAATATTTGGAATTTCTATAGTTTCATTTTCCATTTGTCCCACTTGCTTTGTACACTCCAAACACTTGTATTCAAATATTGACTATAGACATTGGTTTTCTTGGCAATTGGATCATCAATAGTCCCTTTTCTTCTTAGTTTTATTTTGTGTTGTGTACCTTCAGGACATGAGCGATCATGGCTCTCTGCAACTTCTTATAGCCTTAATCAATATTCGCTCACTTAGTATCTCTCCCAGTCTCTGTTCTACCAATCATCTAAACATACTTGTTACATAACTAACCCTTTTACCATGTCTAAATCTGTCGTTCGTCCTTTCTGACCTTGGTCCTGAAATCTACACAACACAGCATTGTAACTTGTACATCAATGCAACTGCAGAATTCTTATGTAATTCATCTGCTACAAGGCCAGAGTAATGAACATAAAGTTAGTATTGAACATAAATGGTCTACTGATGCAAAACCTTTTATGGGCAAAGAAATATATCCATTTCAATGCATATATTTCTCTGAGCCATTTAAAAGAAATCCATTCAATTTCAGTGGAAACTGGACAAGCAATACTAAAATAACAATATATCCCTGATGAAGGCCAAGGGAACAACAAAGATGAGGACAATAATTCAAATGTAAATAACTTCTCCAAAACTTCAGACAGAAAGCAGGGATTGTCATAGAAAAACATTAAAAAATAAAAAAAATCAAATTCAAAGGAACATTTTGTATTTATTATATATTACCAGTAAATGCATCTGTTTTCTACCTTTGACCAAATCAAAACTTTGAGTTTGGAATAATTATAGCTTTTAGGCAATAATTTAATAAAGCAAATTTTTAGAGGTTATTTGATATATTTCTGATGTCAATAGGAACACACTTTCAGCTTCTTGATGTTTTCTATTAGAAAGATTGTTTATATTATTTCAGTATATAATTGTAAAAGCCTGGTTTTTTAAAAAAATCTTCAGCAGTTGATTCTATATTGCTGTTTCAGGATTCTGAAGAATGTTAACACCACAAATTTAGAATATCAAATTTCTGCTTGTTCCTTTATTAATAAGTTAGCAAAGACATTACACTCTGCTATTACCTTGGAAAATAATGGATCATTCCATTTTGATTGCAAGAAAAAAACAAGATATATCAGAGACATTGAGAAAAAGAAAACATACATGCATAAATAAAAAAAGAATGATAATGTAGTAAATAGCTCACATGTTGACAGTAAAATGTAAAATCTTGACAGTTTTTAATCTTTTCATTTATACCCTCTTTAAATAATGACCGTTTGCTAGTTAACAGGATTTATTAAAATTTATTAAAGTATTAAACAGTAAAATATTTAGTTGAAAAACTTTGAAAATAATTAGTAAAATTTGAGAATATTAGTCTCAAAATGGAATTAGTAAAATCAGTTTTAGTAAAAAAAAAAAAATTTCTCAGAGAATTTGTTTTCGTATATGGCATGTCTATATTCAAGACAAATGACAAAAAAATTTACGTCTGACATCTACTACAGTAGGCTGTCATAAAATAGCTTAAAAATTTGATGTTCTTAACAATTTATTTTAGAGTTCCCATAGATAAACCAAATTTATTGCTGTTTTGTAAGTTTTAAGTGGAAATTTTATTCAGTTTCTATTTTCAAAAGATGCTGGAAATTTTTTGCAGACACTTAATAAAAAGTGATTAACATTTTTAGATTTTTTTAAACCATTTCTGACTTTTATGGAACTCTGATTTTGTCACCTGGATATTTTCTTAAATGAGACATTTGATCTTCAAATTCTTTTATTTTAAAAATTATCAAATTATTTTATTGAAGACATGAATATAATCCAGAATTATTTGGAGCAGATATTCTTGGGGAAAGACAAACATTCCCCAAATACTCTCACCGAACTAAATATAGTGTGGCAGAATTCCAAACGAACGTCAGGGTTATCAATGAGATGTAGCGTGTCTAGGCCAATCACCACATTTTTTTAATTTTGTTTAGGAACCCAAACTGATATAAGAACAAAGGAATCACATATATATATATATATATATATAATTTGTATTCAACAAAGCGTACAAAAAAGAAGCATGCAAGGAGTCGGACGAGAGTAGTCTCCCGTTAACTAAAAGTTTATCAATGTTCTCTGAAAAGGAAATGAAAGAATTATTAGTGTTATAAATGTTTTAGACATTTCTGCTGTGCAAGAGGAAAATTATGTAAGTGGATTCCAGTAGCAGTCAAAGTCTCACTGGTGTTGGTCCTCTTTTCTTCTGTTTATATAGATAGTCATTGTATTAGGAATCTGCACGGGAAAAATCATTCTCCACATGCAGAGAATCTGATTGGTTGATACTGACCAGTTAGTGCCTGAGTTTTGGGGAGCCACTTCTCCCAAAAGTGCACAAAATTTACTATATGAAAATATAGTAATTTTAAAATTGTTTCAGAATATAGCGTTGCTTTCTGTCCAATGAATGCTGTTAAAGATTTGAATTTGTAAGGGTGTATGTGTGTGTGTGCGATGATGATGATGATCGCTATAATACCCCCTCAAGATTGGAGGATATGTCACATATGAGCGATATTTAGAAGGCCAATCTACCTTCCTACCTGTTTTGGTAAATAGTGGTTCTGTCTGAAGTGGGCTGTTGATTCTGGTTTGACGATGATCATGCTGGTTGCTGTTGATCCGAATTGAGTTGTTTTGCGGCTTGTTCAAGGTATGCTGGCTTTAAACGGTCAACAGAGATGGTCGACTGACCATTGCAAGTCTGGATGGTAAAATGCTTGGGATGACGTGAAAGTACTCTAAAAGGTCCAGAGTAATAAGGTGTTAGTGTTTTTTTTGTTTTGTTTTTTTTACTGCGTCTTGTCGAACAAAGATGTAGTCGCAGTCTTGCAAAGATTTGTGAAAATAAATCTCCTTAGAGTGTACTCGTGTAGGGGTAAATGACAATCCAGCCATTCTGTGTTGAAGGTATTGTATAAAAGTAGAAGTTGGTTCTATAGAAGTGTTTCTGTTCAGGAACTGACCTGGTAACATAAGCGATGTACCAAAAACAAGATCAGCAGGAGTAAACTGAAGATCTTCCTTCATTAGGGTTGATAATGAAAGTATAACTAATGGTAATTTCTCCAACCAAGTTTGGGCTGTGTCAGAACTTGTCAATGTAGCCGTAAGTTGAAGATGGAACCTCTCAACAAGGCCGTTTGCTCAAGGATGATATGCCGTTGTTGAGATATTAGTAGCTTCAAGTAAGTTCACGAATTCTTTGAATAAAGTTGATTGTAATTGTGGACCACGGTCTGTCGTTAACTGAAGGGCAGCTGAAAATGGAAATCCATTCCCACAATATTGCTTTAGCAACAGATTCTGCCGTGGTAGACTGGCCAGTGGGTGAATCTGTCAATTATCGTTATGTATTGATAACCGGGAATTTCAAGTAACTGGCTCACCAAGTCCGCATGAAGATGCTGAAAATGGCCATCAGGTTCTGCAAAGTGTCCATAGGGTGATTTGACATGTCGGTGTACCTTGGTTCGCTGACATCTGACACAAGTCTGAGTCTATCGTTTAATGTCGGAACTCATCTTAGGCCATACAAAACGTTCAGTGATTAACTTTGTCGTAAACCGCCTTCCAGGATGCGATAGTGAATGGAAATGGTCGAATATCTGTCTTCTCATAGAAGAAGGAACCAAAGGTCGAGGATGACCTGTACTGGGGTCACATAATAATTGCTTACTGCTAAAGGGCATGGAACGTGGCTCAATCCGTAATGATGTGTCTGCTTGTAGGTCTGACAAAGTATCATCCCTTTCTTGTTTGTCAACTAATGTCAAAATTCAATGGTTGTTTAGTATACGTATTGATAATATTTGCACGCGAAAGAGTATCAGCAACAGTATTATGGTTCCCTTGTATGTATTGAATATCCGTTGTGAATTGGGAAATATAGTCTAGCTGTAATCGTGAGGATTATACTTGTCACTCTTAGCATGTAAAGCGTAAATAAGAGGTTTGTGGTCCATAAAAACGGTAAAATTGTGTCCTTCCAAAAGATAACGAAAGTGTTTAATAGCTGTATAAATAGCTAGTAGCTCACATGAAAAAGTGCTGTATTTCTTTTTTTTTTGGGGGGGGGTAAGTTTTACAGAGAAAAATGAAAGTGGCTTAATTACCTCGCCTGTATATTGATGTAATACAGCTCCAATTGCTTCTGAAGAAACATCGGTAGTAAGAGATAAATGTGTGTTATCGTCTTCTTGAAGGTAAGGAAGTTTATTAAAGTTCGCTAAAGCGTCCTTAGCTTGATTGAATGCAGTGAGTGATTCACCGTTGAGTGTAATTTTGGCGTTACGTTTCCCTTGGTTACGGAGTTGATTTGTCAGGGGTGCCAGTATGTGTGAACATTTAGGGATGAACTGACAATAATAATTGATTAATCCTAAAAATCTACGAAGCGTAGGCAGTGGAAAATCTTGTACTGATTTTACTTTATCAGCGACAGGTGTAATGCCAGTACCGTCTATTTCATGTCCAAAAAAAGTAGCCTGGGTACTGCGAATACACATTTATCAGGGTTAATCTTAAGACCAAAGTGGTTGAGTCGCTCGAAAACTTGAGTTACATGATCTATGTGTTCGTTCATGTCTTTGCTAGCTATGAGCAGGTCGTCGATGTAGACAAACGAATGTGGTAATCCATGAAGGGCTTCACCTATTAGCCGCTGGAAAGTTTGTGCGGAGTTCCGTAGTCCGAACGCCATTCGCAAAAACTCGTATAAACCGAAAGGTGTTATTACAGTTTTATGAATGTCTTCCGTAGCCACCGGAATTTGATAAAATGCCTTCCGCAGATCCAGCTTCGTAAATACCTGAGCACCTTGAAGTGTTACTACAAAATCTGCTAGGTTTGGTGTAATAGAGAGAGGTTGACGCACATGAATGCACACACGCAAATATAATGTTTATTGATTGAAGATGGAAAACACGATCTTCCATGAAAGTTACAAACTGTGTCAGCGCTATTAATAGGAAAGAATCTAGAACAATGATATATGAAACCTGAGACGGCTGATGGATAAAGAATAAATTTCAAATCGGGTTGGCGAGAACTTGTTTATAAACAAATGCAAAAGGACAGGAGGCGATGTTTAATTTGGGTCATTAAAAAAAAAAAATATTTTTTGATAAAAACATATTGAAGTAAATTGGACCGGGGAGGTAAGATCAGTATATGTTTACCGCTAGCGAAATCTGATCTAAACATAAGTTGTATCCGCTGAATTTGGTCATCGAAAAGACAATTGAAATGAACATTGAACTAATTAATTTTATCCACTAAGAGATTTGAAATAGATCTGAATTTAAACTTTGCTTATGGCGACACTCGTGTTAAGCGCGTGAACAACCTGGCTTATAACCTTCGGTTTGCCATATAAACGCGAGTTTTGCTGAGTTGGGGAGACTTGGGCGTTAGACGAGAGTGACGTTGAGAGAGAGAGAGACTGTCGTTGCAATGAGTCGGTCCAGTGGCGAGTCAAAGATAAGGACTTCAAGAAATATCGTCGTTGTAGCAGTCGCATTGAAAAGTCGCTGAAAATTAACGTTTGTCACTTACGACAACCAACTGAAAAACTACACTTCCACGTAAGGCTGGAATTACGAGTCACATATCCTCCCAAGTTGATTTGGAACGAGTTAATCACACACACACACACCTCTCTCTGTTGGTATAATTGATAGAGGAGTGGTCCTCTGTTCTTATGTTAATTGCTTTTCTATCCTTTCTGTAAACTATTTCTACTGTTGTTGTTTTCTTATATAAAATGCATCAATATTTTACCCATTGTTGTTCGGCTTCTGCAGATATTATTTCCTTGTTTGCCACATACTAATTTTCCTGCCACCCACCTTCACAGCCGTGCCTACACCCCAATCGACCGTGAACGTATGGACAACACCCCGCTTACTAGATCTAAATCTAACACAACGTGGGCAGCAGGCGAAACTTGGCCAGTGACCGGTCGAACAATCTACGGGTACTCAGGGAACGTGCGGCCAGCTACCCATGAATTCGGTTCAGACCGAGTGGGCGCCTCAACCCAAAGAGGAAGACGCCGGAGGTTGAGGCGCTGAAGGGACGGGTGGTAGATTGGCACAGTATATTTATCCGGCACAGTTAAGACGTCGAAAATCTCCACAGGGTCTCCACGCCCCTGATTGTGTCTTAGGTACCATATGGAGTGGGGAAGCGAAAGGCACGGTCGTACGATGCCGAGGTCTAACATGTGCTGAAATTCAGCCTACGCTAATTTGTACTTATCTGGGCTTAATCTGCGAGGAGATGAAAAAAACAGGAGGTCCTGAAGTTTGAATCCTATGTACAGTGTTGTGCTTGACGGACTCAGTATAAGTAAAAGGTGTTTCAGTGCCAGGAATTTATCTAAGATGTGCTGTAGCGGGTTGTTTTCTGGGAGTGCGGTGCAGATCTTAGTGGACGTATATGTGGAAATCATGCCTGTAAGTGTTAGTTGCATCATCTGGTCTATCAGGGTGTGGTTAGACATGTTCACGGCGAGCTTGTAGTGGGCTAAAAAATCAGCTCCGAGCATAGGAAATTTCACTTGTACGACGGTGAACAACCACGGAAATGATCGTCTTAAACCGATGCTGAGTGTGAGAGAGATTTGACCATACGCCTCAATCTTGGTACCGTTTGCTGCACGCAGGGTATATGCTGATTCACCTGTTGTGGTGTTAGCTCTGGGTGGGACTACACTGACCTGAGCTTCAGTATTCACCAAGAATAACTCGCCTGAGTTAGTATCCTTAACAAAAAAAAAAGAAGGTTAGCTCGATTTCCCCCAAAAGCAGACACCGCCTTCATGTGCTGTTGGGGATGCCCTTTCCCGCTTGTTTTTATTTAGTAGTAGGTGTTGATCGACCGTTGAAATGGCAAGGCTTAGTACAATGTCTCGCTGCTTGTCCAAACGTTTGGTGGTATCAGCAAATACCAGTGTTTGCTTTATTCCTAGTGTTCAATTTAGCTCTGCTATGGTGTTGAGACTTGTATGCGTTGTATGCTGGACGCGAACGCACTCTACTCAGTCGATCCAGTTGCGTGGACATTTCGTCGATCTGCTGCTGTATCTTTAGAATATTGTCATGCGGTGTGCTGTCCGTTGAAGAAATATGAGTGCTGTTAAGAGTTCTCGTCTCCACGATTTTATCGGCTATTGCAGCCACTCGTGGTAGATCCAAATCCTCAAGGAGTGTTGCCAAAATTTGCGCGGTATGGGTCGGCAACTTATCTAGCCAGAGTTTCCATAGAAAAACCTCTGACATGGTGTTATTACCCAGAAGGTTTTTCATCTTCCGTAGAAGTTGGGTGGGTTTGCTCTGGTCAGGTTGAAGCGTATTAAATAAGTCGTTGATTCGACGTTCTTCTGACTTCCCTATCCTGTATATAATAGGTTCTCTCAGGACGTCAAATGGGTTCTCTGTTGGGACGTTATCTAACAAGTCAGAAACTTCCGATGCGATGTCGGGAGGTAGTTTCTCGACTACATAAGCGAAACGAGCGCTCTGTGACTGGATTCTCTTAGCCTGAAATATTGCACCCAGTTGCGAAAACCAAACGTGAACATTCATCTTGTTGAAGACGGGAAGATTGACCAGTACTGCAGCTCCGTCACTGTCTGGGACTGCCATGTTGAGTCGCGTGAATATTCGCATGTGCTGACGAAAAGATTTTTGCGCGCCAAGTAGATGTGCTGATTCCGAGATATTCCTCACAATTCTCTTACAAGGTTCACTGGCGAATGAGGTAACAGTGAAGTTTTGGTGCCTTCTCCTGCAGGACAAGTAATCTTTATGTGGACTTTGATGAACGGGGCGTAGCGCATGCAAATCACATCAGCCTTTCCTAAACGGCGGGGTGCCAAGTGGGCGTCGGAGGTCACCAATAAAAATGTGGCCCTTCCTAAGATCACGTCGGGATCACCAATAAAAATGTGGAATTCCAAACGAACATCGGAGTTATTAATGAGATGTAGCGTGTCTAGGCCTCTCACCACATTTATTTAATTTTCTTTAGGAACCCAAACTGATATAAGAACAAGGGACAAGGCAAAGGTATCAATATATATTATTACGAACCCCCCTCTCCTTCCTTCCTTTTCTCCAACCTTATCGATAGCGAAGGTAGAGGAGGATCGCAATTTGTGTTATTTTGTTTTTTTAACATTTTACATTATTTTTTGTAAAATATATTTCTTTCCCAAGGGTCTCTTTCCGATTGATCAGTCACGGCCGAGCGGAATCGATTAAGGAACAAACACGGTAGGCGACAAACAACAATAGAGACAGGAAATATAAATTTATTAACAAACATGAAATCGTGGAAAAATAAAAAAAAAAAAAAAATGACGATATGTTAAGACTAAACATTTAAACATTGTGGACAAAATAGTGGGAGGAGAGCATCCTTTACGAAAGGTAAAATAAAAATCAGCGTATGGCCTTGTGCCATACTGCCACAAATTTATAGAACATGTGCTATACCTGCACGGATTCACAAACATCAACATTTTAAGACAATGTGGAAAGAAATATATAATAAAAAGATTTCATGCTAAATTTGCATGAAAGTACAAATACGAAAAAGAGGTACATTTAAACAAAACAGGGCACAAGAAAAATAATAAACTTAACTCAAAATAATAAAGTCCTTTTTCACTAACAATGTCTCTTAGTCTTATCTTTTTCCTTTTCTATTTCTTTTTATCGGGGTCTCTTTTTGAGGTATTTTCTTACTTCCTCTCTTTCTTTTCGTCGTCTAGGGACTCGGCTGATGATGAAGCAAAAAATACGTTCCCTCTCTCTTTCGTCTTGGTATGACAGCATTCTCGCTCGAGATGGTCTATTCTTTCTTTCTTCTCCCTCTCGTGCTTTGTTTAAGGGTTTGGTGACAGTTGAAACTGCTTTCTTTCTCTTCAACATAGCGGCGTTCCGCCTACGACTGGGAGACCAATTCTCACAATTTTGCAAACACATCCTTTAGGTTCATATACTCGGACATTTGCCAAACGTCCGTCCAGCCCGCAGGCCTGGGCAGAGACTAACTTTTTCGTTTCACTATTCGTTTCCGTTTTCTTCTTGTCACGTGGTCAATTTTCAAAAAAATAACTTTTTCCCATTATGAGTGGAGGGATTCCACCTACTTTTACGTGCGCGCGCGTATTGCACCCCTTCCTTTCACATTCGGCTAGATATAGTAGTAAGCAGCCGTCTGCTGCCGACGTGAGGAAGTTGCTGGCTGCTGCTGATTCCAGCTAGAACAGAATTTGAAGTTCTCCCGCGCATTCTCTGACGTCACTGACGAACGGTGTTTTTCAAATCAGTCGCTGCCTGGTCTCCAAGCAAAAAGGTCGACTCATTTATTTCGCGACCCTTACCCATACGCGGGCCGAAATATCTTAACTACAAAAAACTTCCTAGTAAACTCCTTGGCTCATCATGCCGAATCTCTCCATGTGGTTGCAACTTTCTGCGAACAACTTGTTTGAACTTTCCTCCGTTTTCTACCAGAGAACGTAGAGTTTACGACACCGTCGCCATCACACTTTTACAATGACTAATTCCTTGTCCTGACGCGAACAACTTTCCTCCGTTCACTACCAGGGAACGTAGAGTTTTTCGACACGGATGATCGATAAACTTCACATACACCTTTTGAACTCTAACCTTACGAACCAGTTTAAAAAGAAAGAAAAAAAAAGGATAACATAACACACACATGACAAAATCTCGCAGTATTTTCCTTGTTGTGTAGGCATGTACCTTTTGCATAAGAAGACTGTTCCAGAATTTTCCTTCTGAGGGAATCTTTCCCGCCTTAGCCATTTTGATCTACTTTTTGGCGCGGAAAATTAACATTCTTTTACTGACTACTTGTCACTACCTTATACAACTTGCCTACTTGCTAAGAACAAGCTTTAATTTTCTGATAGTCTCCACTGTTTGAGACAAAATACTTTTTATTAAATAAAGTTTTATATTTGTTTTCCACCAGACTCGTTTTCGTCGTTCCTCCTGGCTACCTATTTATACCTTTTTATGCATGTGTTGAATGACCCTTTTTCCTCACTAAGGAGACTGTAATAATTCTACGGTTAAAAGATCACAAATTTATTATTTTTACTTATTCTTTTTTTTTTTACTTTGCTAGTGAATTCGGTAGTCGTGAGTGGTATTTGGCACAAGGCCACCTTTTCGTAGGCCAGCACTGCATGCTACCGGGTCTGCTACAGGGTCATCGACTCCCTCTCTCATCTTCAGGGACAGAGAAAGTTTAGTTTAAAATGTTTCACCTATCCCAACCGAAATCTATCCGTGTAGATCATGCTGTCAACACCTTGACCAAAACAGGAGGAAAGGGTACACTCCGGTTAATCCTGTCGCCATTAATTCTACTTATATCTTTGGGTTTATTATCTTTACATTTTCTGCAAGTACTGGGCTCTTTATTTTAGAATGCTTCTATACCAAGCAATGGTATATTTTTTATAACAAATTTAGATCGGGGTTTGTAACTATATAAATTGTATTCAACAAAGCATACAATAATGAATATATACAACAAAGAAGTATGCAATGAGTCGGACGAGAGTAGTCTCCCTTTGACTATAAAAGTTTATCAATGTTCTCTGAAAAGGAAATGAAAGAGTTATTAGTTCGTTATAAATGTTTTGGACAGTTCTGCCGTGCAAGAGGAAAATTGTGTAAGTATAAAAGAATATGTAATTTAAGAGTGAGTGAGAAGATGGGCGCATGTCTTCGACTGACGTGGATTCTAGTAGCAGTCGAAGTCTCACTGGTGTTGGTCCTCTTTTCTTCTGTTTATATAGGTAGTCATTGTATTAGGAACTGCGTGGGAAAAATCATTCTCCACATGCAGAGAATCTGATTGGTTGATACTGACCAATTAGTGCCTGAGTATTGGGGAGACTTCTGGGAGCCACTTCTCCCAAAAGTGTACAAAATTTACTACATGAAAATATAGCGATTTTAAAATTGCCGCTTCAGATAGCTGCGTTGCTTTCTGTCCAATGAATGAATGCTGTTAAAGATTTGAATTTGTAAGGGTGTATGTGTGTGCGATGATGATCGCTATAATAGTATCTTATTGCATAGAAATTATAGTATCTTATTGCCTAGAAAATTGTACAAAATTCTATTATCACAGCCGTTTAAAACGCTTGTTTTTGTAATATAGAAAAATCCAACATGGCACATGAACGAAATATTCAGCGAAAATTCTCATTCATCAGTAACATTAATTTAAACCCCTCATAGAATGCAAAGGTCTCAAAGCAAACCTGTGCCAAACTGTTTTCCTGAATCCTCGATGATTTGGCTGTTCAAAAATGACATCAAGTTGAAATAATGGAAACTGACCGTGGAAAACAATTATGTGCAACAAGTTTTCGATCAGTTACCTTGTAGATGTTTTCGGGTCATGTTATTGGATCCAGACAGCTATTGTTTGCACATGGAATTATTCACTGGTAATTAATCTTCGATTTGGCTGTGAAAAATGTAACAGGGGGGTAACATTAAGAAATTATGGCCAATTTTATGAAAAAAAATTTTTTTTTTTCATTTCAATACAATTTTTTTTTCAAACTTTAATCCTTTCTATTTAAGTTGGTGTGAACATCATTGAATAAAAGCGACTGAAAAAAAAACAATGTCGGCTGCTAAATGTTTTTGTTATCACCTGGGTCACAAGATGTTAAAAAAAAAAATCAAGCTATTGTTCAAACATAACCCATATCAAGCCCTTTTTACCAATGTTTTTTTTTTTTGTTGTTGTTTTTTTTTTACTCTTTGCTCTTATCTTGTAAGTGGTGGGATTTTTTTTGAAAAAAAAAAAAAAAAACAGGTTTCCGGTCAGGAATTGCGGATAAATCTTTGTTTTTTAAAGATTTCCGTGGCCGGGTATCATTTTTTTTAAAGCATGGCAGTCATATAATTGAAAATTACCAATGGACTTTGTCACATTTTGACCCCCTAGGAATTTTGTTTTCCTTCAACCTCTCAATTTTATGCCTGAAATAGCTTGATTATGATTTAATTTAAGCTTTTTGATTTAAAAAAAAAAATGGTTAATTTCCCATTATTGGGGAAAAATTTTGTTTAGAACTAGAAAAAATGCAAAATTTTCACTATTTTTTCACATTTTACCCATGAAAAAAAAATTAGAGTCATTTGCATCAGCAAATTTTATTGTTTGCTTTCAGAAAATACTTAGTTTCATGGGGTTCAGATCAAGTTTTCTTGATATTTTGTTCAGATGATGACAAAACAGTCATTTTTCAATATTTTATTTTTACCCCTATGAAAATCCATTTTTTTTCCGAGAAAATAAGCTGTGGCAAAATGACTTTTGCTATTTTTGTGATAGAAATTTTTTACCATAGCAAACCTGAATTGACTTAATTTAAGTTTCTATAGGAATCCTCAAACAGCTTTGAAGGTAATAAACTAGGAGTATCACACTCGAGAAATGTTGCCTTACAAATTTTCTTAGAACATTTTAATATTACTTTATTTTAATCGGAATTTGTTTAAAAGAAAATCAATTTTTATGTTCTTGTTCATAAAATTGAGTTTTTTTTTTTTATCAGAATTTCCATTCAGATCAAGTATTATTATTCATTGTCATTTAATTCAAACAAAAAAAAGTTGCATTTTCATCATCTTGTATTGAATATTAATTTTTATCACACGGTTTCTTTTATTTCCTGCTTTTTCAAAAGTGTCTAAAAACCTGTCAAACTTGAAATTCTTTTGTTCACACAGTTTCTTTTGATTTTAAAAATAAAATTGAGATAAAAATAAGTTTTATGTGAATGAATATTGAATAATTAATCAAAAGTTTATGAATCTGTCTATCCGACTGAAAAGTTTTGTTTTTTTTTTGTTTTTTGTCTGGTGCTTTGCTAGTGAATTCTCTGCCAATAAAAGTGAGAATAATGGCTCCTATCCAGGTAAGTTTTCAGAGGCACTGGAACCATTTTTCTATTCTTTCTTAGATTAAGCAAACACTAATTACATTAATTTCATAAATAATTTATCTTTTATTTTGTGCTAATTATACTTTCTTTATTCATTTTATTTTTAATTTAATTTAAATTTTAAAAAGTGTTTCTTTATTATTTTCAAATCTTCAGAATCGACAGTTTCTACATCGAAAAGCACTAAAAAATATCAAAGTTTTTATGTAGTCGTTTGTAAAAAGAATAAAAAACTGGCGTGGGGTGACATTTACAACTGATTAATAAACTAAAAACATGAATTTTGGCTTGTTTCATATGATTTTGAAAAAATGTTTTTTTCTCTCTCATCGTAAAGCATTTTTTATGCTTCTTTGTAAAATGAATCGTGCATGCCTACAGTGAAGTTAAAAACAAAAGAAAAAGTCAATTAAAACTAAGTTTTAAATGTAAATCACGGGGCAGAAAGAAAAAGAATTTTTTTCTCAAAGTAGTTCGAAAAATTAAAATAGCTAATAATCATCACTTTTTTTACTAGTTTTACCTGGAATTATTTTTTCTCTCTATCTCGGTAACTAGCTTGTAAGAAATATTTTTAAATAAGTCTTTAAAAAAAAAGTTTTTCTACATTAAGGAAAGGACAATGTTTGGTAAGTTTGTAATTTTCTTCTCTAAAACAAATAAAAATGGAATTATTTCTTTTGTCGTCCATCCTTATTCAAATTCACTTTAAGAAGCTTCTTTAAACTGAAATGATGTATTTTTGTATGAAAATGTATTTTTTTGTTGATTGTTTTGTTTGACTTTTTTGTTTGAGTGACTTTAATGATTAAGAAGCTAAAATTATATTTTTTACGAAAATTATATTATCCTCGGTAGTTTGTTCTGCTTATGAAAACGATCCTTATTTCTCTAGGAACCTGTTATGTTAATTTTCAAGAAAATTAAGATTTTAAAGTGGACATGATAGCCGTGAATCTAAAGTGGAGGTTCGATTCAGAAAGTATGGATAATGTCAAACTGGACACTCACTTGTCTTTGAGTTCGACATGGTGACATCGAATGTTCAATTTACAATATAAACTTACTGCTAAAGTGGACCCTGACTTTGGTAAATAAATGTCTTACACGGGTAATTTGCTTTTTAAGCCCTGCGCTAAATATCTAATAAAAAATTCTGAGATTGTTGTATTTAGGTGTAAATTCGAAAATAGCGAAGAAATTTTGATAAAATCTACTGTTTTGGAGTTATCGACAATAAAAGTTCGGATTCAGTTGCGTTCTGCCATCCGCCATTACTGGCTTTGTTTAACTACATTCACTGCGGAATATTTTGTGCGCGGAAAATTGGAATTGACGGCCTTTTTACTGCTCTTAACTGATCTTACTCGTCTAAATTACTGCGCGCTTAAGTTGTATAGAAAAGCAATGACAAGTGTTGTTTTTTTTCTTTTTAGTTAAACCTTTTTTCTGTGTAAAAAAAAAGCAATGACAACTGTTGTTTTTTTTATAGTAAAGCTTTCTTTTTAAATAATAAAATAAAACTTTTTCTTTTAAATTAAAAATAAACAATAATGCGCAAACTTTAAAGAGTAAAATAAAATTACAAAATAAAAAAATGCTAGAAAGGAAATACTATGCACGAACTAAGTAAAGAGCATGATTATTTGCAAAATAAAAAAATGCTAGAATTTTTTATTAGATACTTAGCGCGAGGCTTAAAAAGCAAATTACCCAGTCTTTTCACTAAATGTTTTGCGTACGAAAACGTTTTTTGTTTTTCGGTTAGGTCACAAAAAAGATTTTTCTTAATCAATCGGTTTTTAACTTCAGTAAAGAACAAAAATTTACATAAATTAATAATTATTCGTTTATTTTTTAATTTAAGAATTATGAACTGCAAATGTTTGTGCTTCCGAAAAAGATACTATACCAAAAGAATTTTTTTGAAATCTGAAAATTAAAAAATATCCCGATAATGATGGCACATTTTCAATTTTGATATTTGTAATTCTGTCCATCCATGAAAAATGCAAGATACATTCACGTCGATTTTCCGAAAAAAATTTGTGGCTCCATCAAATAAAATCTGTTGCACACATCAGGGTATACCTGCTTTAAACGATCTTTTAACTATATCCGTTCTTAGTTTGTAGCTGCAACCGAGTTGAGAATGTTTACTTCACTTGCTGATGAAAAAAAAATCTGACCTTCACCCTCACGGATATGAATAAAAAAACAACTCTCGGATAAGCTAATTAATTAATTTATTTTTAAAATATTGCTAGTCTATAAAATAATTAAAGTTGATTCGTTATTTCGACAATATTTTGTTGTTCATTCAACATATAATTTTTTTTTAAAAATTGTATTGTTGGTCTGGAATAAAAGCTGGGTTTTTTTTATTTCCTTTATTTTCCCCTTTCAATAGCAAAACATGGCGTATTACATAAAATCGTCTTTATCAATTGGAACGAAATTATTGATGCCTCAAACTACACGCTTTTTATCAGTATCTTCAGCTCTTCGTATACCTATTCAGGTTTGTTCAATATCATTTTTTTTTTGCCTTCTATCGGAACGATGTCCAGGTACGTTTTTATCATGTCTGAAAATCACCTAATCTAAAATTACACAACGAGGGAATAATTTTCTCAACAGTATTATTACTATATGCAGTACAAATTAGTTTTTTCCCCACAATCTCAGAAGAACAAAAAACTACCAACAGAATAAATAAGTTTTTTTAAAATTTGTTTGCAAAGCTTACAAACTGGTGTAGTAGTGTCATACGACGTAAAGTAGATGCCCGTAAGGTGCGTGTTTGATTTTTTTTTTTTTTTTGTCATTTCTTTTCAATCCAACCTTGCAAATTGAATATTTGTCTGATTTCATTTTTTTTTTTTTTACTTACATTTTTCCCATGAAACAGGAGATACTTGGCTTAGCTATGAGTTGCTGAACACAAAAGGTTATTTTGGATCATGATTTTTCTCATCGACCAAAAGAGCGAAATAACTTCATAAAGACTCGAACGTCTGTTGACATAAAAATAAAATAAAGTCTAATAAATAAATCAAGTCATACATTGTTTACAAGGCTTTCCCGGTTTGAGGAAGCTATCCACATGATAATTTGGGAGTTATGTGCGCGCGTGTCTGTCCTGAAGGCGTAGGGCATGCAAAAGCACTAAAGCTAAAAAGATAAGCGGAAGCCTGGATAATTAAAAGTTGAAAATATAAACTAAAGGAATATTTAGAAATTATGGGCAACATATTGTTTTTTTTATTTCACATCTTGTTTTATTCAGTTAATAACCCTAACAATATGAAAAAAGTAAATAAGAAATAACAATTAAGAAGTAAATAGCTATTTTTTCTTGACATAAAAAAAAGCCTTTGAAAGTTGCACCCTAAACAAAAGTGTTATGTTGCTTTGGGGTTAGTAGAGACAAACGCCAAATAACACGTAACAATAAAAAGGGTTTTAATAGGTTGGTAAAATGGTACAGAAATCGCCTGAGTAGTCAATAACTAGCTCAGCTAAGAACTTCTCTGGATATTTATTTGAATGATAAATACAAAATGTGGCACAAGGCCTAAAAGGGGGTTGGGGGAAGGACGGTCTTCTTCTGTCTTAAATCTAAACTTAGCTAGTCCCAGACACGGACCCAGACATACCAACAATATTCCAATCACCAAAACAACACATTCATTCCTACCTTTCTTACTGCGTCCACCATAATACCTCAAATTCTCTATGAAAATCCTAACTAGTCCCCTTATGTACAGATATTGTTCGTGGGGGCCGACCAAGAGGGCCCCACGAATCATCAGCCAGGTGAGTGATGCCTCATCGTTATTGAGACATTTCAACCCAGGCGCCCAAGGCCATATCGAGCGAGCCTCCTGCTTCGTAAGACCGAGCTCGCCAATCAGCTCATCTTGAACAGCCCCCCTAACTAACAATCGATACAATGCCTTACGAGACAACGCCTGGGCGTCGGAGAGGCCATCCGACGTCCGTAAGAGGAGTTTCAGAGCGCGACGACATTCACGATAGAAGGAGCACTTGGCACGTGGGTTATCCATTGTTTTCTTCTTCACACGAGTTTGACACTTTCAGGGACGGAAATGTTTCTGGACATCTTTGGTTCCAAAAGGTGCCCACCTCATCCGAACCGGGCGACACATTTGGTCTAGAAAGGTGATGCGAAGCATATATTGACGGATCTCAATGCTAGGCATACCCAGACCGAAATCAGAGGGATGAAGGCAACAGATCTTGTCAGATACCATATGGGCCTTGCCTCTCCACAAGAAAGAGAACAAGGTCCGGACTAATGACATTAGTCAGGCATACGGGAGTGGAAGCACAGAGAGTCGGTACAGGAGGATCGGACAGATGTGTGAAACACATACTTCTGCCCTTCCCTTCAGGGAAAAGTCTCTCCGAGACCACAAATTAACCGTGATCTCGGCCTTCCCTTGTACCTCTGACCAGTTCATTTTCAACTGGAGATCAGGACCAATCAGATGCCGAAATCTTGATCGAAAATCCATCCAGAGGAAAGGTCCGGAAGAGAAACTCCTTCCACGCACCCAACCGACAAAGCCCACAGACTTATCGCGGTTGATCTTGGCCCCCTGTCACCATCTCATACCCACTGATCTTTTGTTGACTTAAAGGAGAATCTTGTTCTGCTCACAAAGAACCGAAACGTGATTTACATAGGCAGAATACCTGGCTGAAGTGGAAGCCTCAGGCAAGGAAATTCGCGCGAGGACCCCATTTTTTAACTTTACTAAAAAGGTTCCAACACAAGAACGTAAAGCAGAGGCGAGAGCGGACAACCTTTGACGAATGGAGCTTATCTACCCCATTCACTTCCACCAGCGAATTGGGTTGCATACAAAAGTCAGATCCAGGAGCGAAAAGTCGGCTTGAAACCGGTAGAAAGGACAATTTCCAGAAATCGATGGTCAACCCTATCAAGGCCTTGGACTGATCTAAATTAATCAGCACAGCTTCACTGTCGACTTGTTCTAAGATCAAGCGCACCATATTAAGGTTATCCTGAATAGTCCTACCCTTCACAGCACAAGTCTGTTCAGGGCCAATCAGACGAATACAGGACAAGCTGCAAACGGTTGGCTAAGATCTTCGCCAAAAATCTTTTAAGTCAGTATTTAACATCGTTAAAGGGCGAAAAGTTCCCTAACCCATCCCCACCGTCCCCCACGAATTTAGATCACACCCCTGGTGAAGCGTTGAGGTAAAGACCCCTGCTTCATCCAGTGGTTGAAAAAAGTTCAGCAAAGGAACAAAACGTGCAACAACCTCAAGTAAACTTTGTAGGGAAGACCATCTAATCCCAGAGACTTATCCAGGCCCACCTGCTTCAGTGCTTCCCAGATTTCCGACTCTGTAATGGAACCCTCGCACCTAGCCACTTCAGCTGCCTTGAGGCAGGGAAAGTCGAATAGCCGTCGAACTGAGCAGAGCTCAGACCAGGCTCCCTGGTGAAAAGATCCTGAAAGTAATCCCGAAAGACCTCACATATGCCCGTGTTTGTAGTCACGGTCCGCTTATCCGGCAATGTGACGACGCTTATATGTCACCTAGACGCGCTTTCGATTCTCCTCTGCACGCAGTTCAGCGGCCATATTCGTCTTTAAAGAAAACATTCTTTTTAACCTAGTTCTAACTACCAGAGCTTGATCCTTCTTGATAAGCAAGGAGGACAACTCTGCCTTAGCTAAAGCTATTTCCCCACTAACACGGGATTTCACAGCCCGATCAACTTTATCTTCTAAAGCTTTTTGCACCGCTAATCTATCTAGATTGAGTCGACGACTAAAATCGGCAGCAAACGTTCTAATTTTGGATTTTAATTTGCCCCACCAGACGTTTCCCACAACCGCCCCTCTGAATCATTAGTAGCAGCTGGTCCCAGAAATCCTGCTCACCAAATAATGAACAGTTAAATTTCCAGTAACCAGCCATTCTAACCTTAGGCTTATCTAAGTTTAGACGGACCCGGACAAGCCTATGATCCGTATAAACTATATAGTGGAAACTTGGACATCCTAAGAGCCCTACATCGACTCTCCTAACTAAGACTTGGTCCAGGTAGCTCACAAGCTTCCCAGGAGCCGAGTTGCCACTAGTTGTCCAAGTCCATGCTACCTCTGCCCCTTCTTCCCGAGGGTGTTCATTCTGGAACTTATCGACAAGATCAAACCCATCGATAAAGTCCACTGGTTGGTTTCACGTTAGGGTTGTTAGTACCCAGTTGTTTGTGCCCTATATAAAATCTATATCGGGGTCAAGGAGGGCATTCCAATTTTGTAAAACTTACCCGACGAGACGTGCGTTGAGAACGGCGCGATCTGCGTGAACAAATCAAACATCTGAATGGGTATTTTGTTAAACCCCAATGAGACGAGAACCTTATCCTTTATGGTAACATCCAGCACACAAAGTCTGCCCCCCGGATCCGCGAAGATAAGGTTACATGCAGCCTTCAAAGACCTGCTCACCAGCCAAGAGACACCCCTCGAACGACCATCAAAACATGCTGAATAAAGGGCGTACCCCTTAGACAGTATGTCCTCACAATCATGAGAAGAAAACCGGGTCTCTTGCACACAACATACATTCACCCCGCTGAAGGTCACGAGAGTGCCTCGCCCTGTGAGACTCGGACCTCAGGCCTCGGACATTCAAACTAGCTAACCAGAGTGCCATTGTCAAATTGAATTAGGGTTGTCCTTCAGGATAGAATATGGCTGGGGTGAGGACACCGACAGCTCGTCCCATAGATCCGGATGCCATCTCATTTTTGACAGTATCATCAAGCCGCCGATGTCCGAAGGGTAAGTGTTAATTTCAGAGCCCTATAAAGGGATGGGTGAACGAAAACTGGGACCCTCCCTTTGAGTTTTTGATTTGCATCATCCAATTCCGGGTCAAGTAGGTAGGCAGCTGGGGGCACCATTTTTAGAGACAACTGGGCCTCCTCTATCATGCCCCAAATCTCCCGCGTACCCAGGCCAGATCTAATTACAGTCAGAATTCTTTTAGCATCAGGGAAATTTTCTGGCCTTTCTACATCTATGCCATTAATTTGTTTGAAATTCCATAGTATTTTTAGGTCTTTCGTGTTTCTAGTCTGACCGAATACCCTTTCAGCCTGGTCCTGGGATACATGGCAGACCTCTTCCCCTGGGAGATATGGTGGTTTTCTTTTCTTTTTTTTTTTTGTCGGTCACAGTTTGTGACTTTGGACTTCTGCCCCTTTTTTTTTGTGGTGAATGAATAGGTGTAGACATGGGCGTGAGATTTGGAGTTGTTGAAGGAGTCCAACCCGAAGGTGTCCTCACTGGAGAAGGTTTGGACGAATGTAGTGTTTTAACGGGTGAGTTTGACACAGATTTGGGCAGAGGTGGCTTGGTGAATTTAGTTTTAGATGAAGGGGAAGATGGGGCAGAGGATAGGGGGACCGGTGCCCCCAGCGATTTTTGATTTTTACCCCCCTTG